TTCACAAGCTTTTCAAGTGAGACAGTGGGGGACATTTCTTTTTATTTTCACTGGCACAGGAATGGAGCAAGTATAGGGAAACCCGACTGCAGTGGAGTTGAAACCTCGACTAAGACTAATAAACAGAGTTGTTATCAGATGTTGAGTGTTTCTCAACATTTGTTTCTATTTTAAGCTTGCTGTGTTGAGATACCTGTCAAAGTGGCTGAGTAGGCTGCAAGACTAGAGCCCAGACAGTCATTGCACTCAGCAACTTTAAAATACGTCATATTTCACAACCTGTGCTAATTCTCACAGATGCAAGAGTGGTGCTTCAGGCTCTCCAATCTGGAAAACTACCTGGTATACGAACACTACTCTTCAAACTAGGCAGCCAGTGTAAGGTAACTATTCAATGGATACCATCCCACTGTGGAATTCCTGGAAATGAAAGAGCTGATAAACTAGCCAAGGAAGGTGCAAATGAAGAACAACCTGACGTACGTCTCTTATCAACAAAAGAAGAGAATAATCAAATCTCTCAGAAAGCCACTAAAACTGATCACCATGTTATGGACAGACCAGAGCCAGTTTTTATTCTATGCCTTAGAACAGGACACAATCCACTTTGCAGCCACATGTATTCAAAATTTAAAATCGGCGAATCAGCCATGTGCACATGACTGTTCCAAATACAACATATCAAGGCAAAACATTTGGTCAAGAGAAACATCAGTACAGGTCAAATTTTATGGGTCATTGAGTGAATTGCAAAAGACAGTGAAGTTTATACTAGAGACAACATTGCAGATATAGATAATCTATTTCAAGCGAATGGAAGAAGAAGAAGAAGCACCTATATCTAATTCTGCAAAACCACCCTTTCATTTCCTGAACTTAGGCTTCCTAATTTTATTTATTGAAGCAAGTGGATTATTTTTTTAGTATTGTAACTGTTCCCCGTAATAGGTCTGGGGTCCCATAGATATACCTGCTGACCCTCCCCCACCTCCACCAAGCATGTCATAAAAGGCAATGAATTAGCAGTTTTTCCTTTGAAGTCATAGTGCACCTGCCTGAGAGGTGAGGATCAAACAGTCTGCACAGAAATAAGCCAGATCCTTAACTCTTTAAGTCCTAAGGAACGCATCATACGTTCATAGATTCCCACCTAGAGGCCCAATGAACGCATGATGCGCCAATTTTACGTCTCTTTTGACTACCCCTTGGGCCTGTGATGCTAAACCCCCGGGACTCAAAGAGTTAAAACGGGTCTGCATGCAAAACTCCAGTCCTGGAACAAGAAAAGTCCAAAAGTAGACAAAACAAGACTTGTCCATACGAACAACCAGAACTTTCTGCTGGAGTTTACAGCTGTTGAATGCCAAGAAGAAGAAGAAGTTGAAGACTTAGTCACCCTCACAGTTGAAAACTTGTGAGAAATATTGTATTTCTGCAGATTAAACTGGCCATTGTCACAGCCGGTAAACAACTTGTCATAATGGTATATCATTGTTTATTTTATTTTGTGTGAATTCATAAATGTGTTTCTTTCTAAATGATTCAACATATTTTTTTTTTCAACAGATGCTCAAGAAGTGATTGGATTTCACTGTGAAGGTCTTCGTCCAGGATTGGCCCTAGACCATTGGAGAGGCATTGATTTTTACAACTCCACGACTGAGGCCAGATTTCAGGTATAGTTACACACATTAACACTGCAATTATGATTAGACGACAATGAGAACAAACTATCAGAATGTGGTCAAAGTTCACTCGAGGAAGTCTGATGTCCATATGACATGTTCAGCTCTGTTACTATTAACTTTATTATCCTACCATTGTTACATTATTATAAATAACTAAACATACCAGCTAACTCTGTCTAATGTAGTAACTGAAACCACTGCTCATGTTACATGACCCCACCGCCGTTGTCCAGACGTCTGCTAGGACATCTGGTCGACCACTGCCCTCAGCTGGCTCACAACCTGAGCTGCTCACTTCCGTTACTTCAGGTAGCTTCTGTGGCTTGTGTGCACAATATGACAAACAAATGTTTAGTGCTTAGCCGGCAGTCTCACATTCACCCGATCTCCACTCCTTACCATGATCAAGAAATGAGTAATCAATAAACATGACCATATAGAAGAAGTAAATTATTAACCTATGCCGGTGTGTGGGGAAATGAGCAGGCAGATAGGCTTGCTGGTTCTGCACCACTTGGAGGTGAATTGATGTATGACAAGCTAGATGCTGTGAAGGGCCTTTTGGGAGTGAGTGAACAGTGCGGAGGAGTAGATAGATCATTATGGTCTGAGGATAATGGCGCTGCGGGGAGTTACAAGTGATCTTGCAGACGCTCAACACTCAAGGGAAGGGCAAGACGGATCTACAATCGGTTACACTGGTACCATCGGAATTGAAGATCTTTGCTTGCTGCTGAAGATAGGGATGGATCGCTAATGGGGGTGTCCTGAGTGCTGTGATATTGATTGTTAATTCAACATTCAACATAACTGTAATACATTCACTAGAACCTTAAAAAACCAAACCATGCATCATTTTTCTCATGTGTGAACATTTGATTCCCAAGAAAACCTCCATAAATGCTATTTTTAGTAAGTATATTCATATTAATCTGCTACGCAGATGACACAGTCCTCCTTTCGAACAGAGTAAAGGGAATAGAAAATTTTAAATTGTCTGTCCAAAAGCACAGGGAAGATCAAAATCTGTTCTTGAATTTAAAGAAAACAAAAATAATGTCCACAGATAAAACTGGCTGTCACCCAAAAATAACAATAAATGATGAAGAAATTGAAAATGTCACAAACTTTGAATATCTAGGCTCTATAATAAACAGCAATTGAGACTGTTCAACAGAAATTAAAAGGAGGATGGCCATAGCAATGCAAAGATTGAACAGTCTATGGTTAAGCACCAGTAAGGAGATCAAAATTAGAATTTTGAGAGCATGCATCTTCCCTGTGGCTACATACAGATGTGAGTCGTGGACTATCTCTCGGTCCTTAAGAAAAAGAATAGGGGCTTTTGAGCTGAAATGCTATAGAAAGATTCTCAGAATATCTTGGACAAAGAAGAGGATAAATATTGACATCTCAAAAGATCTGAACATCAAGGAATATTGGCTAATAAACAGCATCCTTTCTCGGAAGCTGAAATATTTTGGTCATATCAAGCGCCACAACAGATTGGGAAAAACTAGCAGAAGGCATGGTACCAGGAAGGAGGGGCAGGTGCGGACTGACACGAAGATGGGCACAGGATATAAGTGACTCCTTGAGTGTGAAAGTTCATGAGACGGGAGAACTGGTAAAAGACCGAGTTTCTTTCAGGCGGACCGTGATGCGAGTGACGTTCTGCAAAGGACCTGCTACATGATGATGATGATTCATATTATTGCCTACTAAATAACATTATGCTTCTCTGAAACAGATCACTGCAGACAGGCAGGTTTCAGGTCATTTATGGGAATGTGGCAATGAGGGAAAAGCCAGGTTTTTGCCTACAGCCGTAACAGGGTTAATATTAACCGAATAACATTTAATCTTAATCGATAACATGGTTCTTCACTATCTTCAACAGATTCAGGGCAACACAAAAGTTTACATGAACGAGTCGCTGTCTTTTCTTGAGTACCTGGACATCAGCTATACAGGTCTGGATACATACCATGGTCGAACATCAGAGCCGAACATCTTCTACCAGAAAGCTGCCATCAGTGCAAGCCCACATGTCCCCATGATGAATAATGTTACAATCAAATATGGAGCCTATGATGCTTTGAACTTAACGGAGATTGTTGGACCGATTCATGTTGTCAATTCAACCATCTCTTTAAACAGAGGTAAATAGTGACATTTCACAAGTGGTATTGATAATTCGTGGTGTTTAGGTATATTTGTGGGAACAAAGTACCATGGAATCTGTTGCATGTAGGGCACATTTAGGAAGGGAGTGAAAATAAAGGGGGAAAAAACAACTTAAAAGGATGAGAGCTAAGGGCCTGAGTACACTAAAAACTTGTGATAGCATTAATAGTTCTGAAGTACCATATTCTAATTGTGGAAGACTTTCCTTAGCATGTTTGGGTTCTGCGCTAGTCATTCTCGCCATTGCCATGGGTTGTGAGTCCCATGCCACCTCCCAGCACAGTATAACACTGTCGTCTGGAAGGATGGAAATGTAACAAAAGTTGATAATTCTGGTTACTAGGTAACATCATCATCGTCATTTGATTACCTTGTCAGCCCAGATTAACATGGGTATTAGGAAATGTGCTGAGAAGTAAATGCAGCTGGCATAATATTTGAACTACCTCATCCAGCACTGGTACTGGCACATTACACATATATGAGGCTAGTACCACATATCTAGTTTAGACCTCTGTGTGAAAAAGGATATTTTTCATTTACCTTTTTAATGTCATTTATGGATTACATAATTTATTCAGTCTATGCTTCACTATAAGAAAAGGGTTGTTTATTTTTACCTTTTCAATGTAAGTTATGGATTACATAATTTATTGAGTCTATGCCTCACTATAGGAAAAGGGTTGTTTACTTTTTAATGTCAGTTATGGATTACATAATTAATTCAGTCTATGCCTTACTATAGGAAAAGGGATGTTTATTTTTACCTTTTTAATGTAAGTTATGGTTACATAATTTATTGAGTCTATGCCTCACTATAGAAAAAAAAAGGTTGTTTACTTTTTAATGTCAGTTATGGATTGCATAATTAATTCAGTCTATGCCTCACTGTGTAAAAAAAATCTGTTTTTCATTTACCTTTTTAATGTCAGTTATGGATTTAATAATTAATTCAGTCTATGTCTGACTGTAGGAAAAGGGTTGTTTATTTTTACCTTTTTAATGTCAGTTATGGATAACATACTTTATTGAGTCTATGCCTTACCATGTGAAAAAGGATCCATTACTTTTACCTTTTTTAATGTGGTTTATGAATTACATAATTTATTGAGTCTGTGGTTACAGGTTACGGTATGTTTATCCAGTCATCTGTCGGCCGCTGTTTGATCAATATGACAGAGGTGGACCACAACTGGGGAGATGGAATCAAATTTTACTTGAGCAATTTGACGATCTTTGACTTCCGTATGAAGTTCCCACCTGCAAAATCATTCTGTGCTTCAGCCAACAGCCCGGAAATGACCTTTCCTTTCTACCAGCACATGGACTTAGTACAGGTTAATGGGAATGACCGTACGTCGGAGGCTATTGGCGGAAATTGTGACAGGGTAAAATATGTGCATTCTTATGTAGTATGTCTAAATAATAATAATACTTAGTCTTAGTCGAGGTTTCAGCTTCACTGCAATAGGGTCACCCTATACCTGCTCCATTCCTGCACCAGTGAAATCCCAATGAAATGTCCCTCACTGTCACGTTTGAAAAACTGGTGAACAAATTAGTCCTGGCACAATCTAGAAATATGTGCACTAAGTAAATGCATACGTCAGTTGCTAGAGGCACCAAAGCCAACAGGTGCCACCAGAAATGCCATTTGTCGTTGATGGAAGTAGTTGGAAACAATAAGTTTGCTATACACACATAAAATTATTACATAAGGTATTACACCAGCTCACACGTAAACCAGCTACCGGTTATATTGAATACCACGAGACATCCGCTGCACAAATAATAGTAGTGCTGGGAATGAATAGCAGCTGGCTGAGTGGTTAAGAATGTTAGGTTCTCATTTGAGAGACCCAGGTTGAATCCTCGGTGAGGTTATGGGTTTCTTTTGTATGAGGCAACTTAAGCCTAGGGCGGTGCATAGGGCAGAGGTCATAGATTTCCATGTCTGGTGGTTTTAGGTCTTGGATGTTCATTAGGCACATGGTTAAGCCTTCCCTGATAATGGTTCTATGCAAAATCTCTCTTGGTCTTCCCCGTTTTCTTGTCCCTGCTGGTGTCCATATGAGGACTTGAGAGGGGAGTCTGGTCTTATCCATTCTGATTGCATGGCCGATAAGTAAAAAAGTACTTTTAAAATATATTAAACTTAACAATCTATTCTTCTGCAATTTGTTACAATTAAAACATATCTCTGTGATATTCAGTAACAAAAATGTAATTGACTAACGACTCTTTTGCTTAGAGATTAGCGAATAATCTTGTTCATCCTGTGCAGGTTCTTTGTAGAACGTCGCTCTCAGCACGATCTGCCTGAGAGAACAGAATAAAATAAAATTACAGGCATAGGTATCCAACATCAAATTACCAAAAAAATAATGTATTCCAATTATAACCGAGATGGGTTTAACAGGGTACTATTGTTTAAATTACTGTTACTTGAAGCCAAACTGTTTTGTTACTGAAAGTGTTAATATTGATTTATGATTATTATTATTTACAGTTGTAAATTGCAGGTGTTTACAACAAGCTGATCCTCTTGCAGGTAAAGCTACTGTAACGAGAAGACAGGCCATAGAACAGGGCTTTTCAACTAATTTTACTCAGGGGCCACAATTGTGAAAACTCAGGATTATCATGATCAGAAACCTGAGCCCAAGCATTGAAAGGTCATCAAAACAGTACAATTAGCTGTGATCAGCAGGCCACTTGCTAGGCCTCCACGGGCCACATTTGGGACAGTGGGCTGCCAGTAGAATAGCCCTGCCATAGACCATGCTAATGTTCTGAATGTTCTACGAGAAGTGAGACATTTGTGAGAACTAAATGATGACTGCGAATCTACAACTATAACCAGACTGCAATAACAGTGAGTAAAAAAAAAAAGGCATGGCCACACAAGAGCGCTATGAGGAAGCAAAATAAGAAACCAATATAGAAAAGGTTTCGTGAGCTGCTACACACTGCGGGATTTACTGAGTAGGGGATCCGAGCACTTATGGACTGAATGGTTCGATGTGCAGTGGGATAATCTATTGACTGACTGACTAACTAACTAACAAGTGGTTGCTATTATGTAATGGGGTAACTATCTTCTCTGTTGACACACAAGCAGATACCCCGGAGTACTAAAATGAATCTTATCAGAACTATTTTTTTGGCCAACACTATGCTGTCAGTGCCAAACGTGGACACTTACATCCTCCAATGAACGTAAAATTGTGACAATAGAGATGAAGTTTCAAGGAAAGACAGAATACGAAATCATGAAATCAGACGAATGCTAGGAATAAAGCCAGTCTTACAAGTTATCAAAGAATGAAGTAGTTTGGACACCTAACGAGAATGCCCTGGTACTATCTGCCACAGTGAGCCACACTAAAATGTTACAACGGGTATAGAGCGAGTGGAAGACCTAGGAAAATATGGAGTGATGACATTAAGAACAGCCTTACAGAAATAAACATCAGTCTTAATAGTGCTCTTGACAGAGCTCATTAACGAATGTTACATCCCCCCCCCCTCCCCCCTGCCCCTCTCCCAGACACTTCGCTATGGTACAAGGTGGAAGAGAAGAAGAAGGTTGTTGTTATCATCTACAAATGCCCTCTTGGAATTTTGGTGGGAAAAAAAAGAATAGACTTACTGCCCTCCTGAGTGCATCTGCCTTAGAGGCAAGGAACCAGCAGTCAACAGCCAGATCTGTAAAACCAATGTACACGCAAAACTCAACTTCTAGAGCAAGACCAAAGTCCAGAAGTGGACAAACAACCAGAACTTTCTGCTGGGTTTACAGCTGGTGAATGCTAAGAAGAAGAAGAGGAGGAAGATGTACATGTAAATTCAGGTGTTCAGTACAAGATTGATTGGAATTAACACCTGCAGCATTTGTAAACTGCAGGTTTTTGCTACAAGATTGATTGCTGTTACCATTTACAGTTGTTAATTATTTAGGTGTGTACTACAAAACTGATTTACTACTAGCATTTGCCATTGTAAATTGCAGGTGTTACTGCAAGATTAAGTGAAATTATCATTTACCATTGTAAATTGCAGGTGTTACTGCAAGATTGCCTGATATCATTTACCATTGTAAATTGCAGGTGTTACTGCAAGATTGCCTGATATTATCTTTTACCATTGTAAATTGCAGGTGTTTACTACTGCGGCCAACATGAAAATCACTCTTCACTTTATGATAGTTGAGCGTGACCCTGACCCAGCTGTCACCGGCAAGTTTATCATTAGAGATGGCCTGCTTGGCACCAGCAGAACTATCATTATCAACAATGGAACTTTCCCACAATCCATCACCACGAAAAGTAATACCCTGAACATCCAGTTCCAGTACACTGTGCCCCATAATCTAATCTGCAAGACCTTCCCACCATGCATCCGTTTTTTGTTGGAATTTACATCCGGCTTTGGTATGTTTTATTTTATCCATTGCTATTTAGTTTTAATTTAGGCTTTTAAGATATTACTGCATTAAAATTAATGATGTTTCCCGCTTCCTCCTTTTTTTTTTTTAAGTCTTCAATTTCTTCCCTTCTTTAATTTTCTACTTCTCAAATTTTTCTCATCCTCTTTTTCTTGTCTTCTCTTCATTCTCTTGCTCTTCTTTATCCTCTTCCTCTTATTCTCTGTCATTCCTTCTTTCTTCTTTTGCTTTCATCTCTTTTTTCCCTCTCCTCCCCCTCTTTCTGTTCTCCTTCTCTTTTTTCTATCATCCTCCTCTTCTTTCGCATCCTCCTATATTCTCCCTTCCTTCCTCTTTCTCTTCTTCACCTCCTTGTTTCTTCTTTCTCCTCACATTTTTTTTTTCTTCCTCATAACATTTTTTTTTCTTAATCTTATCCCTTCTTATATATGTTTTCTATCATCTTATACTCTACTGATAAGCTATTGATGTACATACAATATAAAAGGAAAGAAGAAGGGTTCAAAATAATTACATCAGTCACTTCAAATGACACCGTTGTCTTGCTTAAAGAACCAGTCATGCCAAAAGATGAGACCAATCACTTCAGATCTCACCGTTGTCTTGCTTAAAGAACCAGTCATCCCAAATGATGAGACCAATCACTTCAGATCCCACTGTTGTCTTGCTTAAAGAACCAGTCATCCCAAAAGATGAGACCAATCACTTCAGATCTCACCGTTGTCTTGCTTAAAGAACCAGTCATCCCAAATGATGAGACCAATCCCTTCAGATCCCACTGTTGTCTTGCTTAAAGAACCAGTCATCCCAAATGATGAGACCAATCACTTCAGATCCCACTGTTGTCTTGCTTAAAGAACCAGTCATGCCAAAAGATGAGACCAATCACTTCAGATCTCACCGTTGTCTTGCTTAAAGAACCAGTCATCCCAAAAGATGAGACCTATCCCTTCAGATCCCACCGTTGTCTTGCTTAAAGAACCAGTCATCCCAAATGATGAGACCAATCCCTTCAGATCCCACCGTTGTCTTGCTTAAAGAACCAGTCATCCCAAAAGATGAGACCAATCCCTTCATAACTCACCGTTGTCTCACTTCAAGAAACTAGTTTGTCACAGCAGCTAAATAAATATGCACACAAAAAAAATCAAGAGCTCATCATTACATCAATATTTTTCACACAGACAAACCAAACAATTAAGAGAATGTAATCATGATCATTAGAAAGAGCCCTCTTGTCTGGTAGCTTGGAGCAGCAGGCGTGAACATTTCACTAAGCGCACAAAAATGTCTAATTAATTGACACAGACTGTGCATTGTTCATTTAAAGATCATCTTCACTGCACATCAGACATGACCATAAGTGCTCCCATCTCCTCCTGAGTATATCCCCAAGTGTCTTTAGGCAAACAACTCCTATTCTGTTCTGGCTGATGTAAGGACTGATGGCTCCCACATGGTTTTCCTGTCTCGCTGCTTCATATGGTAGACCCAGGGTATGCTGTCTATTTAGCTTGCTTCCCTTTGTTTGGGGTCAGCTACCATTACCAATTTAACATGACAACTTAGCACTTGAGGCTTACACAAGAGGGTCTTAGTGCAATGCACTTAGCTCTATAGCATCAGTGACAATCCTACAGACGGCAAAACAACAGAAAATCACATCATCTTTAAACAAAACAAACCAACAGATTGGGCATGATGAGTCATATTGCGCTTATGGAGCTATGGAGGAAAACAAAAAGCTAAAGGTAAAGTCAGGAGATGTGAACCAGCGTCATTGCACACGGTTATAAACCATAAGTGCTCTGCCACCAGTACGGACAACTGATAAGAAACTGTGTCGCCGTCAGCACGTAACTCTGTAGCTACAGCGACGTTCCTCCATTCACCCCATTTCATAGAGGCTGGGTAAACCCCGGGAACCGCCCAGTTTCAAACACCGACCGTGACTGCAGCGAGTCGCAGCTGGATTTGAAAGCGAGTCTCCTATCGACTGCACGGATGAGATTAGAACACCTATGAATCTGTCCAATGTGCTGTTGTGATAATCACCCCCTAATCACTAATGCCTTCTATCTACCAAGGCAAATCTCAGAATAATTTTTGGGGGCTGACATTATGCTACAATGAACTGGTTAAGCGGCTAGATGCACACCTGTGAATCTAAAAGTCAGGGGTTCAAATCTGAACGGGCTGGACTTGAAATAAAAAAGATACCTTGGCTATCATAATCGTAGAAACCAAACAAAAATTTCAAATTTGGTCCTCTTTCAGCTGCCCAAAGGCCTGCTTTATTGAAGCCGGTTTCTTTGCTATCTGATTCAGTTTGATTCATTGTGGCGATCATTTTCACCTAAGTTAGGGTGTATGCTGCTGCGTCATGTCTGCTCGATCAGGCTTGGCTGGTGTAGTCCGGCTTTTTGGGAGTGGGTATGACAGCCCTTAGAAGGGTTGCCATATTTGCCTGGGATGGCCTGAAACGGGGATGGGCGGATTGAGAGACCTTGGCTCTTTTGACCCACCCTTAAATGGGAACCAGGGAAAGACCTGGGAAGTAGAGGTTGCTGATGTGATGCTGACCACATCACCCGTCGAGTGTCTATAAAATATAGGTTTAGCCCTATGTGCCCAATAGGCCTAAAGGCATGGAAATGGTACTTTATGCTACCAGTGTCAAACATCATCAACATGTTACCACTAATTTATTTAAAGGCAAGAGATGAGATGGTTTAGTCATCTGACCAGAATGCCCTGATACCAACTGCCACAGAAAGCAATGCTGAAGAAATATAATGAACACAGATCGAGGGGAAGACCTTGCAAGAGATGGAATGATGAGATCTAGAACAACCCTAAAGAAAGAAATATTTACTTAAACAACACATTAGAAGAAGCACACAGACAATCTTTACATCTCCAACAATTTGCTTAGATCATTGGAGGAAGTGACGAAGAAGAAAATGGAAACCTCCATGCTTCATACGGTTACCAAGCTAAAGCAAAATTCTCTTGGGCCATGCCATTGTTTTATGTTTTTATAGTAATTAATTTCTGTATGTTCATAGCAATGTTTCCCCACTGTAATTTAACAAAGACATTCCATAGATTGCAGTTTATGGCCTGGCATGATTTTTGCTGTATCTGGCCAGGTGCATACTACAGTCTTCTTCTGTCTTTCGAACCCCCAATGGAGCATAGGCCCTCGACCAACTCTAACCAAGTCGTTTTATGATTATTTTTAATTACTTTTCCATGGCTGGTTGGTTTTTATTGCTGTTTTTTTAGGATGAAGTAGCCAACCTTAAGCCCAAAACTACCCTTAGTTGCCTTTAACGACATGCCTGGTAGGGTGCAGTGTTACTATTCTTTGCTTCCCGTGAGGGTCCCGCTGACACACGGGTGGCATACTACAGTCATAGTTAAATACAGTAAAAGTCATCAACCTGCACATGCGCTGGTACAACAGGCAGTTACTTTTGAGTGTGGTGGATTTTGTATTTCACTCGTAAAGGATTAATTCATTTGCTTCATTTTATTCACCTGTTACTGTAGAATTATGTTTCTTGACAAAATTTAGTTTAAGAATTTTTTTTTTTGCAATCTATTGTTTATGTCAAAGACAGCTAATCAAATGGTTTGGTTGGCTCACTTAGAGAGAATGTCTTGTAATGCCAAACCATACAAGGCTTACACTAAAGGAGGAGAATGTTGAATTAACAATCAACATCACAGCACTCAGGACACCCATATAAGTGCTCTGTCCCCATCTTCAGCAGGAAGCGAAGAGTTCAAATTCCGATGGTACCAGTAACTAAAAGACGTGAAGGATCAGAGAACTGGTAGACCATGAGAGACTCTACAACAGCACAATGTTCTGTAGTCAGGGCAGCTAGAAGTGCAAGAAGCAGAACCTTATATCTCCTTTGACCTGAAGCAGTAAAAGAGGAAGTGAAGAAGAAGAAGAAATTGTATATATCTTCTTTGTTCAAATTATATATGTTCATTTACAATTTGTACTTTTTTTCAGATGTGGAGGAAGAGTTCCGACTACTGATGTCAAATGTCCATGACAACATTGGCTATGGCGTGAATATTCAAGATATGCGCAGTAAAGTGCGCATCAGCAATGAAACAGTTATATCTAATAACCAGTTTGGGGCGGGAGTGCTGGTATACAAAGGTGCTGGCGATATTGTTATCAACGGAACTCGTCTAGAGAATAATTCAGACGCAGGTGTTAATATTACGTATTCGGGAGGGTACCAGCTGATAAATGGCACACAGTTCATTAGAAACAAAGGTTACGGGATTATCACAGAGTACATGAAGCTCAATCACACACGTATTGAATCACAAAATAAAATTGAATTTGTCAGAACCAAATTTATGTGGAATGAAATGATTGGATTACGAATGGGAAACTACTGTCGTGGTGGAGATATTTTGATTAACGAGAGTTATTTTGCCTATAACTATGACGAGGCTATTGAGTATCTGTCCTGCAATATAAGCACACCATATAAGACAAAGTTTCGACTGGAATTTAACATTTTCAATGACAACTTCAGACATGCTCTTCTCATGAGGCCATTGCTGAACACCGATGGAATTATCACCAACAACACTTTTGCAAACCACTCCCTTAGCACGTTGAAAATCGACAATGGTTATGATCTTTTGATAAGCAGATATTACCGAGACTTCCCTGTGACTTTTAAAATATTTGAAAATGTGTTTGAGAATAATATGGGCCGCTATGTGGTCAATATTCGCTTAACACAGTATAGTGCCACACAAAATCTTTACTGCAAGTTTAATCACTTTCTGCGGAATGAGATAAATGATTCATTCCCATTTCTGAACCCGAGGAGCCGAGCCAATGCTGTAATAGTGTTGTCATCCAGTAACATCCAGTTTCGGCGAAACAACATTAACAACCCAGGCTCTTTAAGAGAAGTGGCAACACATTTGGTAGATCCATCGGTGGCAATTGATGCAACAGAAAATTACTGGGGAACTGAGATCAACAGACAAGCAGATTATGAGAACGTTTACAAGTCTATTTTTGATCAGGTATGTATTAAAATCAAGTTTTGATAGCACAGCTTAGTAGATGCTCTGTGTCTTAGAGGTTGGTGATTGTGTTCTACAGTTTCATGATCTTTGATGCACTAGGGCTTGATTTATTCACTAGATGGCTGTTGTAAAAAAAAAAAAAAAAGATTTAAAACACCATGTTACGGACAGACCAGAGCAAGTTATTTTTCTACGCCTTTAAACAGGACACATTCGACTTCGCAGCCACATGTACACAAAATGTGCACATGTGGATTGGCAACTGAGACAACAGATCATATCCTCTAAGACTGTCCCAAATGCAACATATCAAGGCAAAAACTTTTGGCCAAGAGAAACATTGGTGCAAGTCTAACTTTACGGGTCACTGAGTGAATTAAAAAAGACAGTGAAGTTCATACTAGAGACAAAATTGCAGATATAGATAATCTGTACTCTGACCAAACGTATAATATATAGGTAAAGTCTTGAGATGTGAACTAGCATCATTGCACACGGTTATAAACCATAATTGCTCTGCCAACAGAACGGACAGCTGATAGGAAACTGTCCGCCTGTGTCACCGTCCGCACCAAACTCCATAGCTACAGCGACGTTCCTCCATTTACCATAGAGTGTTAACTCTTCTACCCATTACCTAGAGGCTGGGTGAACCCCAGGAATTGCCTGGTTTCTAACACCGGCCGTGGACTGCAGCGAGTCGCAGCTGGATTCTAAAGCAAGTCTCCTATCGACTGTGCTGTTACCCCTTAGAAGTTTTAAATACCCAAAATACACATTTAAAGTGGCTACTGGGGAAGGCCATGGGTCTTTATTGTACTGTGACCAAATGTATAATATATATGATCTCACCACACCACGGTTGGGTCTCATGGTGAAGAGTCCCTCATGTGTTACTTAGGGACTGAAAGAGTTTAGATCATGACTTGTCAGTTTATTAGTCTTGTATTTGATTAGTCCTCAGCTTTAGGAGCAGTTCTCCATTTATAGTCAATGTTTTAAGGTGTTTATTATCATGTGTGACCAGAGAATACTCTTGCATTTTTATCAGATATTTTAACTCTAGGAGATCACTGTACCACTTTCCCGGTAATTTCCTAATCTGCTGCTAAATCGCTGTACCTAATTTTTTGTACCTTGCCTACTACGTGATAAAACGTGTCACAAAATAAAAATAACCAACCAGTCGTGATCAAACCTCGTGGTTAGCCATTGCAAATGACTGCCCACGTGTGTTTGGATTTACTTTGTGTAGTTAAACGTGATGATACGAACGGCGATGAACCAAGAATTTCGACAGGAATGTAAAGTAGGTATAGATTTTTCACAGTCTAACGGATGGTTGGTTCTGACTCTGAGGAGTCAGGATTTCATGAAGAATATGTTTTTATTTAAAGTGACAGTCAGTGGGAGCTCGAGTGATGAGGAGAATCGTGAAAATTATAGATTAGCAACTAGATCGACAGTAAGAGAAGGGGGCATGTCCCTCAACATCTGGTGCTCACTTTGTGAAAGAAGGCTTTGAATCTGAATTCCCCAGCCTTGAATCTGAATTCACCGGGTAGGCTAACCTGGTCAACAAATGCCCGCAGAAGTGGGATGTGTTGGCTGAAAGGGGAAAATATCGCAGCAATGCTGTAAACGGACACAACACAATTACATCTTCAGATAATCACAGAAGAAGAAGAAGAAGAATCTGAATTCCCCAGTCTTAAATGTCATGTACAAGTGCTGCAGAGTCTGTTGTCCTCCTCCTCCTTCTCCTCCTCCTTCACTTCCTCCTCCTCTTCTTCTTCTTCTTCTACTTCTTCTTCTTCTTCTTCTTTTTTCTTCTTTTTTTCTCCTCTTCTTCTTCTTCTTCTTCTTCTTCTTCTTCTTCTTCTTCTTCTTCTTCTTCTTCTTCTTCTTCTTCTTCTCCTCCTCCTCCTCCTCTTCTTTTTCTTCTTCTTCTTCTTCTTATTATCATTTTTATTATCAGCTGTAAACTGCGGCAGAAAGTTCTGGTTGTTCATCCACTTCTGGACTTGGGTCTGGTTCCAGAACTTGAGTGTTGTGTGCACATCTGTTATACAGATCTGGCTTTTTTGTATGCAGACTCTTGGTTCCTCTCATCTCTTAGTCAGATGCACTCCCCACGTTAAAAGAAACACCTCCCCCGCCCCACAGTGGGACCCAGGAACACACCTGAGGGCAATGAAAATACTATGGATGCTTCCAACATTTTAAGGGTCATTTTTTAAAATTTGCATTCTTTAGGATGACCGATACAATCTGGCATTGATCACCTATCACCCTGCACTGAAGACAATTCGGCTGTATGAGAATTACCTCTCGGACGATGTCCCAGCTTATGTGTGGCAGTTCTACAGAGGCAATGTCATTGGTGGCATACTTGAGAACACTTTTGTTTGCGGTCAAGGCAAAACCCTCTACGTGGACCGAGATATCTATGTTTTCCCTGATAAGGTGAAGTTTGTTCCATACACTTTTCATGTACACTCCTACATGTGTAGTTTGTTCTATTCAGGTACACTTGTACAGTAAATCCATATATAGATTGTTTTGTTTAGGTATATTCTCTTTAGGTACACTTTTACAATCAATCAGATACTGTCTACAGTGAAAGTTGGCCGCAGCTATCTCCAACACATTCTGTTTCTCATATAGATATTAAACATTCTCAGAATACTACTTGTCCATCTCCTGATGTTGTCCTCCCACTTGGATCAATGTCTGCCTCTTGTTATCTTGCCTTCGACTTTTCTTCCAGTATGATATTTAAAAGAGTGTTATGTCTTTAATGGTGGCCAGACCATTTCAGTTTTTTCTTTTAATTTCTTTCAACTCTCTTTATTCACAGTCTCCTCTGAGCCTTTGTATTTGTTTATTTTTATATTTGATTGTTTTTGTATTGGATTGTTTTTGTATGTGATTGATTTTGTTGCTGTTGTTGACACTTTCACATTTGTGATTTGTTCCATTCTCATATATTCTTACACTTATTTGTTCTGTGTATTTACACTCTTACTCATGACTGGTTCTACTCCTGCACACTCATACAAATAGCATGCTCTATTCATGTACACATGTACACTCTTACACATGATTTGTTTCATTTTGTCACTTTTTCACATGATTTGTTCAGTTAATGTACATACTTAAAAATGATTTGTTCTAGTCATTTATACTCTTGCATGTTGTTTGTTATGGTTATGTATACTCTTGCACATGAATCGTTCTAGTCATTATACTCTTGCACATGATTTGTTCTAGTCATGTATACTCTTGCACATGATTTGTTCTAGTCATGTATACTCTTGCCCGTGATTTGTTCTAGTCATGTATACTCTTGCACATGATTTGTTCTAGTCATATATACTCTTGCCCATGATTTGTTCTAGTCATGTATACTCTTGCCCGTGATTTGTTCTAGTCATGTATACTCTTGCCCGTGATTTGTTCTAGTCATGTATACTCTTGCCCGTGATTTGTTCTAGTCATGTATACTCTTGCCCGTGATTTGTTCTAGTCATGTATACTCTTGCCCATGATTTGTTCTAGTCATGTATACTCTTGCACATGATTTGTTCTAGTCATGTATACTCTTGCACATGATTTGTTCTAGTCATGTATACTCTTGCACATGATTTGTTCTAGTCATGTATGTATTCTCAGACAATAATTTATGGAAAATATAATTATTTTAGATTTTTGTCGAGAGACCAAAACCAAAACAGTAGTACCTGTAAGCAGTGAAATATGGGCCACCTAAGAGCAAGTTACTGTTGTAAATTTAAATTGCAAGTAGTGCGTTACGAGCAAGTGAATTTAAAGCCAGTTATGACTGGGCAAGGGGCTTTATGGCACAACATGATCACAACATTGATTAGGCAGCGGACAATACTGGTACAGGGTCTTGTTAATAGCTACCAAGAGACACTGTCTGAGGATTATGGAAGCAGAATGTCTACATCACTGCTAAGAATATGAGAATTGGAAGTAAAAATCGGCATAGCAAAGCATGAGAAGCACACCGGACGCACACAAAATCTTGTTAACCAACATAGGAATAGCACTATTAACCACACGACGCTGATGAATATGTTGACAGGGGAATCTGAGCGCCTATGGATGTGTCCGGAGTGCTGTGAAGATAATCTAACTCATAGCATAAAATAACTTGGTTTCAAAGACATGTTCTGAAGGTAGAGAAGACACACAGCTACAGCATGGGAGCAGTTGGAAATCCAGATGAAAATTCTGTTTATTAATACATTTTGTACAACTGGCATGTAAGCCTTATGTCTCGAATACAAGCCGCATACTGTTTTTTCATCAACATTTTATAGTCAAAATACTGTGGCTTGTACATGAAAATATGGTATATGCTCTCACATACTGTATATGCTCTCACATAGTGTATATGCTCTCACATAATGTATATGCTCTCACATACTGTATATGCTCTCACATACGGTATATGCTCTCACATACTGTATATGCTCTCACATACTGTATATGCTCTCACATACTGTATAAGCTCTCACATACGGTATATGCTCTCACATACGGTATATGCTCTCACATACTGACTGTACCTTTCCTCTGCAGACTTTGCTGATGGAGGCAGGATGCAAATTGAAGTTTTTGCCATCCGTCGGGATGGTAGTTCATGGAGTGTTGCGTGCAGACGGCGTCCGCAGGGAAACACCTTTGATATTTGACATCGATGACCGGGAAGAATTTATACCAGTGGAGAACCGCACAGCCACTGTTCGACTGATGAATGGTACTGATGAGTTTGAAGGTCGTCTTGAGGTGGAGATCAATGGCGTCTGGGGGACAGTTTGTAGAGATGTAAGTATCCCAGTCTTTTTTTTTCTTGTGTCCATTTTCTGCTTTGTGCCATTAGGTATTACAGGTTAACAGAAGATCAGTTTCAAAGCCAGGGCATGCTGGGTTGCCTGGTATACTGTAATATTGTGGAGTTTTTAGCCATCAGTGACTCCTTCTATTCATTTTCTTCTTTGTCATCCTCTACCTGCTTGTGTTATTACTTTCATGTTGTACGCTCCTGTTGCTGGTATCAACGGATTCATTCTCATTAAATGTGAATTTTTTTTCATTAAGAGAATTTGTAGGTGTTGTTTCAATAGTTCTTGTCATTTCTTCATAAAGTATCATCATGTTAATGTGCCTTGCCAGTTGGGGTAGGTGCTCATGCTTCTCCACAGATCAAAATCCCTGGTTGCCTTGAACAGCTCTCTTGATGATATCCCTCAATACCATCATTTCAGCCCATCCAGCATCATCTCTCTTGGTCTGCCTGTACCCCTCTTTCCACTGATCTTTCCAGTTGTCACAATGTTTTCCAATGCCTCTCTTCTCATTGCATGACCAAAGAACAGTGTTTGTCTCCTTCGTATTATTATATATAGAGATCTACTTTCATAAGCTTCTTTTAAGCAATCGTTGTTAGTTACTCTGGCCGTCCAAGTTATTCGTAACATTCATCTCAGAAACCACATCCCTGTTGCTTCCAAATTCTTCTTAATTTGTTCACTGACATTCCAAGATTTGCTGCCATACAGCAGAACAGGTTCTATGTAACATTTTAGCACTCTCTTTCTAAAATTAAAAGAGAGCGACTTATTGCATATTTTTCTTATCAACAATGACTTGACCTGTTCTGCTTTTAGTCTCTGTCCCACATTTTCCATCTGATGGTATGATTGTATGATTGTTCCCAGATGTTTAAATTTATTGACTTGGTTAAGTGAACCAGTAAAATATACAAAGAATATGCTTCCATGCTTTTAGGCACATAGGACATATTGTAGTGGAATGTCCCGTTTTCAGCTCAAAATATTAGTGGAATGTCCCGTTTTCAGCTCAAAATATTAGTGGAATGTCCCACATCAAGCTCGAAATATTAGTGGAATGTCCTGTTTCAGCTCAAAATATTAGTGGAATGTCCCATTTTCAGCTCAAAATATTAGTGGAATGTCCCGTTTTCAGCTTGAAATATTAGTGGAATGTCCCATTTAAGCTCAAGATATTATGACCACCCTACATTTGAAGCTCCTTGTAGATCAAGCTCTATGAATAAAAGACTTCAAGCACATTCTTCTCTCCATTTGATCCGAGTGTTGAGAGGAAATGTGACGATCATCTGTAACTAATGCGCTCTATAAGTCGGTCCTCATTTCTTGAAGGTTATTCTTGATGCTATTGCTCCATATTTGTATGGTCTTCCCCTTGTTCTGTGTTCATTATATTTCTTCAACATGGCTCTCTGGGACAGTTGGTACCAGGGCATATTGGCAGATGGCAAACTACCTCATTTGGTGCTGCAGATGGCAAACTACCTTATATGGTGCTGCAGATGGCAAACTACCTCATTTGGTGCTGCAGATGGCAAACTACCTCATTTGGTGCTTCAGATGGCAAACTACCTCATATGGTGCTGCAGATGGCAAACTACCTCATATGGTGCTGCAGATGGCAAACTAACTCATATGGTGCTGCAGATGGCTAACTAACTCATTTGGTGCTGCAGATGGCAAACTAACTCATATGGTGCTGCAGATGGCAAACTTAACTCATTTGGTGCTGCAGATGGCAAACTACCTCATTTGGTGCTGCAGATGGCAAACTACCTTATATGGTGCTGCAGATGGCAAACTAACTCATTTGGTGCTGCAGATGGCTAACTAACTCATTTGGTGCTGCAGATGGCAAACTACCTCATATGGTGCTCTTTAAAATAGCGTATATTTTATAAATATTTTATATTTTATTTACATAAATCCTACACTGATATACAGAAGTAAATTATGGACAGTTGGTAAATTAGTGAAAAATTATTAGGAAGCTGTGGAGATGTGATTTTATAGATAAATGATGAGAATACCCTGGACAGATAACAAGAGTAATGAAGACGTCTTCAAAGAAACTGACTCACAAAGAGAGCTGATTGCCCACGTCAGAAAGAGACAATCTACATTCTGTGGTCATGTGATGAGAAGGTGAAAGCTGGAGTACATCGTGACAAAAGGAAAGTTGAAAGGGGGGGAGGGGGGGGAGAGAGGCAGAGGGAGACCGAGATGACAGATGCTGGACAGTTTGATATCATGGCATAGGAGATCATCTGTGTCAGAGCTGACTGAAAGTACATGAGACAGAAGGTTGTGGATAGACATGACTACCAATGCCACATGGCATGGACTCTAAGAAGAAGAAGCAGAATATAGAGCATGATTGGCTTCATTTCTGGTCTGCTTTTAATTTCTTTATTTTAGATTTTCTGTCTTCTTGTCACTTCAGCAACATTTCGTCTCTGTTATGATTTCTGTCTTCTTGTCACTTCAGCATCTCATCTCATCTCTGTTATGATTTTCTGTCTTCTTGTCACTTCAGCAACATCTCATCTCTGTTATGATTTTCTGTCTTCTTGTCACTTCAGCAACATCTCATCTCTGTAATGATTTTCTGCACATTACTTGTAGCGAGCGTAGATATTTGACACTAGTAGCATAATTCAGGTATTTTTCTCTGTATAAGACAATATGTTTTCCATAATTTATTTAAATTTTAAAAAAAAATAGTTGATACCTGGGGTTGTTTTTTTTCATGGAATGTGTTTAAATTGTTTATTTCTTATTTTTGGGCTAAAAATATAGGGACTGCCTCATACATAGGGGCATCTTAAAAGTGGACAAACAGAACTTTCCGCCAGAGTTTACAGCCAGTGAATGCAAAGAAGAAGTAGAAGATTTTTTATCAGAAGTAGACTTAGTTGTTCCAACACCTGATTTACTCTTGTATACAGTTAGTTAGTTGTCTTTCCTTTAGAGGAAGATGCAGAACCAACAGCAGCATTTTTCAGCTGTTGTGGCTTTTTAAGGCAGATTTTTTGTTCAGAAGTTTGCCATTGCTTTCTAAACAGCATACATTAATGGCATCCGTCAGTCCCGGGGGACTATGGAGCTGTGCCACTGGCTTTGGGAACAGCATCTGCTGTGACTGTAAAGTCCAATGCGGGAATGGCAGTCTTTGCCACACAGGATACACACAAAAGCAGATACTCCCTCGTTGTGAGGCAGTTTTACTCTCCGGTGCCTCCTCTCCACAGCTCGTTGTGTTCGGTTTCTTTCAAAATGTGACAGTCCGTCTTTCACTTTCTGTCTCCATAGTAGTCGATCTGCAGCTGATTTTTCCCATGTCTCTGTGCCTATGTTGATATCTATTAGGTCACGTTTGCATACATCTTTATAGCGCAGCTTTGGCCTTCCTGTAGGTCTATTCCCAGTTAACAATTTACCATATAGGAGATCTTTTGGAATACGACCATCCTCCATGCGGGAGACATGTCCCAGCCAGCGCAGACGTCTTTGCTTCAGAAAACAATACATTGATGGTATTTTTGCTCTTGTGAGCACACATTCGTTGGAGACAAGGTCTCGCCATAATATACCAAGGATGCGTCTCAGACAGCGCATATGGAAGGTATTCAGTCTTTTTTCCTGTGGAGCATAGAGAGTCCAGGATTCGCAGCCGTACAGTAATGTGCTCAGGACACAAGACTCATAAACCTTCATTTTTGTATTATCAGTTAGCTTATTGTTTGACCAGACTCTCTTTGTGAGATTTGCAAACATAGCAGAGGCCTTTCCTATACGTTTGTTTAGTTCTGGATCCAGAGAATGATTGCTTGAGATACGTGAGCCTAGGTACTCAAACTCATTTACAGCCAGCAGCTGATGGTCATACACACTAATGTTTGGTGGATTTCCAACATTCAATCCCATCACTTGTGTTTTGTTCAGACTGATGGTAAGCCCAAATTCTTTGCAAGCATTTGCAAAGCGATTCATCAGGATCTGCAGATCATCCTCTGAATGTGCCACAATGGCTGCATCATCCGCAAACAGAAAATCCCTGAGGCATCTCGTGTGCACCTTCGTCCTTGCACTTAGCCTGGACAGATTAAAAAGATTGCCATCTGACCTCGAACGGAGGTATATCCCCTCAGTTGCTGTCCCAAATGCACGCCTCAATAATGCGGTAAAAAAGATGCCAAACAGCGTGGGAGCCAGAACACATCCTTGCTTTACTCCATTTCGAATCTGAAAGGGTCGAGATTATGAATCCTCATATATTATGGTCCCCCTCATATTCTCATGAAAGGATTTGATTAGGCTCAGTAGTATAGGTGGGCATCCATATTTTTCAAGGATCCCGAATAGACCATCTCTGCTGACATAGTCAAAGGCCTTAGTGAGATCTATGAAAGCAATGAGCAGTGGCCTCTGTTGCTCTCTGCACTTCTCTTGTAGCTGCCTGATGGAGAAGAGCATACATTAATTTCTTGATAACTCATTTGCTAGGTATGTGATTGTTCTCATTCTAGGGGTGGATCGTGGAGAACTCATTGCTTGCTTGTCAGCAGTTGGGTCTTGTATATAACCCAGAATACCCAACAGCAAGGTTGCAGACACCTGCTCCGACTGGAACTCCCATTCTGATGAGCTGGGTGTCATGTGACGATGTCGATGTTGACTTGACTCAGTGCCGATCTGTCAACATTGATGCTGCGACATGCGATCATTCTAAAGATGTCTACTTGAGGTGTCAGTTGCCAACTTGGTCGGGTAAGTTGTTGTTACTGTTATTCCTGTTCTGCTAGTACTGTCAACAGGTGCCAGGTTTCTACTTTCTTGAGCATTTAATAACAGATGATAGGTTACTTCTGGTCTAAAATGGAACACTAGACATGATAGAATGTTTAGCTTCAGTTATTTTTGTTTTTAAAAGGCGCTTTGCTACTGCACTTTCCACATAAGGACGGTAGTCTACTGTTTCACTGCCTGAGCTACTGTACTGATTTTAGGGCTTTGTGCAGCCCTGTGAGCTGTGTTTTTTTTTCAAGTGCAATGCCTTCATTTGTGCATCAGTTGAGTCATAGTATTCAATATGGCCGGTAGCCAGTATACGTTGAAATACCTTATGTAATTTTACGTGTATATAGCTAGCTTATAGTGCCCGACTACTTCCGTCAATGACAAATTGCATTTCTGATGGCGACTGTTGGCTTTGGCACCTCTAGCAACTGTTATATGCATTTACTGGGTTCGCATATTTCTTGATTGTGCGGGACTAATTCTTTGTTCACCAATTTATCAAATGAGACACTGGGAGACATTTCATTTCATTCTCACTGGCACAGGAACGGAGCAAGTATGGGGTGACCTGATTGAACAGTAAAGTGTAAACCCTGACTAAGTCTAACAGATGATAGCAGAAGTGAAAACAAAATCCAAAAAGAGAATAAGAATATAACCTTCATTGTGGAGACAGTGCCATGATTGATTGACAGTGACAGTGCCATGATTGATTGACAGTGACAGTGCCATGATTGATTGATGGTGCCATGATTGATTGACACTGACAGTGCCATAATTGAGTGACAGTTTAAAAAAAATGTTGTTACATAATAAAGATAATTATTATAGTAAATCATACACTAATAATAATATTTATAGTAAAATGTAAACTGATCTGATCATAACTTGGTAATGCCGGGTTTGATCCCAGCTTGCGGGCCACTTGGCAGCAGAATGTGTAGGGTTGGTTTCCACTGTGGTACTGAGAGCTGATCGTTTAGTTCAGTGGCAAACTGAATGTAAATTTTGCTTAGAAAAACAACAACAGCCTAAAAAAACAAAAAATGCTGTTGTTAGTTCTACTGCATCCTGTAAAGGATACGCAACTAACTAATTAAACATAAAACTTATAACAGTAAAACTTACTATAAACAACATTCATAATATGTTAATAATAACAGTAAAATGACTATTAATAACATTTATAACACATTCTATGCCCTGCACAATGCCATTTTATGCTACAGACATCCACCCACCATCGGCTTATGTTTATTCTTGAATACTCTCAAAGGCATCACCCTGGCTGCTGCATACAAAACTGACCAGGTCCAACCAGTCCAGTCCGAGTCTCAAATCCGATTTGCTGAGTTGAACAATGCCGGACTTCTTGACCCAGATACTGGGGAACTAACTCCAGCTCTCCGCATCGACTACAACTACTATCAAATTTCATGGTTGACTGTGCGGAATTCAATGTCAGATGGAATCCTAATTTCATACAATCATCCATACACTCTGAATAAAATGGAGTACATTACGGTGCTCAATAGTGCCAGAAATGGCATTGTTACCAGGTCCCCAAAGCTGGAGGTAGGCATGTAATTATGTAATATTTTCATCATTATCATGTGCTCAAGGCCTAGATGGCTGTGGGCAGACTGTGGGTATTGATATTGACTGACGAAATGATACCTAGATAACCGCTTAGCGACCACATGTTTAACAACTTACGGACACTCCTACAGGACAGAGTGATAGACCGAACAGATACTCTACATTTCTTGAGGCACTCGCTGACCAGGGGGCGGTTATGCAATCACAGTGTCTGATGCAAAGAACGGAAATTAGCAGCGACAAAACCGAGATGTTAACATTTTGACAGGAAGTTGCTGTAGAGGCGAGAGACTGGACACAACCTGTAATCTGACAGTTAGAGTTGGGTAATTCTATAGTTGGCTCAGTGTAACGGTGTAGTGACAGAATATTGTGTATGGCAGTGCAATTATTTAAGTGTACTCAGGGGTCAACATTTGGAAAATGAGGATGGACATGAGCCAGAGACCTGAGCTCCAGTATAGCAAGATTAATCATACAATATACTGCAGTGATTGGCGGGTCCCTTGCCAGGCACTCATGAACCTGCTTTAGCCCATGGCCGCCAGTTGAAGATCCCTGATGTGTAATGTTAGATTGTTTAGCTCATTATTATTTATTAGTTTGATGGTATATTCATTGCATTGTTATTATGAACCGGCAGTTTAACATCTTGTGTTGTGTAGTTACAGTCTAGTGTGAGTAGTCTTAGTTGCTAAAGGTACCTGTCGCCCGATTATTTATCTGTGTCCCAGCGAGATGGTTCATACTGGGGTTTTGATTGTGAAGAAGAAGAAGAAAGCAATGTCGTGTACTCAGGCGAAACAGCTCAATGACGTGATCTGTCTGAGCACTTTCTCTAGGGCAGTACAGCGGTTGAGGTGTAGGTTGCAGAGATGCAGGAAAGGGCTTGGATCACAGGCTCTTGGTTCAGACCTAGTTAACGCCTGGAAGCAAACATATGGCCAATGTGTCAGTAAGCCAGATCTGTAAAATGGATATGCATGCAGAACTTAAGTTCTGGAACAAGACAAAAATTCACTAGTAGACAAACAACCAGAACTTTCCAATGGAGTTTACTGCCAGTGGAAAGCTAAGAAGAAGAAGAAGAAGAATTCTTTATTGGTTCATTTATTCATTCATACAATATTTACAGGTGATGCATTCTAGGTTGGATGGCAACCAGATGGCAGGATTCTTGTATGATCCATTCTTTACCGAGTATGATGCTCTGTTAATACGTAACACAATCTACCCTCAAAGACGTATTGATATGTTCGGCAAGCCTCTGATAACACTGCAGCCTGACCAGCTTATGTTTCTGATATGCCCAGCAGGACAGTCAAAAGTAGTGAAGGATTACTTTGTGGAGATACAATCCTCGTCAGTGGTTTATAAAGTGGTGGTGCAGGTACACATTTCAAATCTTTCTGTCACAACCAGTCATGTCTTTCTGTCACAACCAGTTATATCTTTCTGTCACAACCAGTCATGTCTTTTTTTGTCACAACCAGTCATGTCTTTTTGTCACAACCAGCCATGTCTTTCTGTCACAACCAGTCATGTCTTTTTTTGTCACAACCAGTCATGTCTTTCTGTCACAACCAGCCATGTCTTTCTGTCACAACCAGTCATGTCTTTCTGTCACAACCAGTCATGTCTTTCTGTCACAACCAGTCATGTATTTCTGTCGCAACCAGTCATGTCTTTCTGTCACAACCAGTCATGTCTTTATGTCACAACCAGCCATGTCTTTTTGTCACAACCAGTCATGTCTTTCTGTCACAACAGTCATGTCTTTCTGTCACAACAGTCATCTCTTTATGTCACAATAGAAAAACAACAATACTAGCCAATTTCCCTTGATGTTTAGATCTTTCAGTATGTCAATATTTCTTTTCTTCGTTGTCCATTGTATTCTCAGAAAATAATAATAATTTAAAAAAATTGTTGTCTCACTGATACCAGATTGTAGACCATGGCCCTGTATTTGTTGTCTCACAGATACCAGATTGTAGCCCACGGCTCTGGGTTTGGTGTCTCACTGATACCAGATTGTAGACCATGGCCCTGTATTTGTTGTCTCACAGATACCAGATTGTAGCCCACGGCCCTGGGTTTGTTGTCTCACTGATACCAGATTGTAGCCCACGGCCCTGTATTTGTTGTCTTTCTGATACCAGATTGTAGCCCACGGCCCTGGGTTTGTTGTCTCACTGATACCAGATTGTAGCCCACGGCCCTGGGTTTGTTGTCTCACTGATACCAGGTTGTAGCCCACGGCCCTGGGTTTGTTGTCTTTCTGATACCAGATTGTAGCCCACGGCTCTGGGTTTGTTGTCTTTCTGATACCAGATTGTAGCCCACGGCTCTGGGTTTGTTGTCTTTCTGATACCAGATTGTAGCCCACGGCTCTGGGTTTGTTGTCTTTCTGATACCAGATTGTAGCCCACGGCCCTGGGTTTGTTGTCTCACTGATACCAGGTTGTAGACCATGGCCCTGGGTTTGTTGTCTCACGGATACCAGATTGTAGCCCACGGCCCTGGGTTTGTTGTCTCACTGATACCAGATTGTAGCCCACGGCTCTGGGTTTGTTGTCTCACTGATACCAGATTGTAGCCCACGACTCTGGGTTTGTTGTCTTTCTGATACCAGATTGTAGCCCACGGCTCTGGGTTTGTTGTCTCACTGATACCAGATTGTAGCCCACGGCTCTGGGTTTGTTGTCTCACTGATACCAGATTGTAGCCCACGGCTCTGGGTTTGTTGTCTCACTGATACCAGATTGTAGCCCACGGCTCTGGGTTTGTTGTCTCACTGATACCAGATTGTAGCCCACGGCTCTGGGTTTGTTGTCTCACTGATACCAGATTGTAGCCCATGGCTCTGGGTTTGTTGTCTCACTGATACCAGATTGTAGCCCACGGCTCTGGGTTTGTTGTCTTTCTGATACCAGATTGTAGCCCACGGCTCTGGGTTTGTTGTCTCACTGATACCAGATTGTAGCCCACGGCTCTGGGTTTGTTGTCTTTCTGATACCAGATTGTAGCCCAGTGTCATGGTTTTCTGTATTTGTCTTTCACTTGTCAGGTGGCTTGGGGGATTTTGTTTCAGCTACACCATTTATCCATCTCTCTCTTGGCTTTTCCTGCCATCAGATAATGCTCGCTCAGAGGATTTGATCATTTACACAGTGTCAAGAGGCAGAAGAAGTGCTTGAGGTTTCTTAGCGAAAGTTAATGGTCGACGTCTGGTGCAGGAGAGCTTAATCTATGATACCACAACATCCAGCTTAAGAATATAGGTGGAGGCGGTAACTGTAGCTTTCCGCTGGCTAGAGAACACGACACACACACACATCGTGATTGTTACTGACTCAGAAAGCATGCTGAGGAAGGTCAGGACATGTATGCTTCCTGCAGAGTGGCATGCTTCACTGAGGAGGACACGGGGGAGGATTATTGTCTGGACTTTTTCACCGGGACAAGTAGGTGGGTTGGGAAATGAACATGCAGACAGACTGGCTGGCTCTGCACAACTTGATGGAATACTGATGCATGATAAGGCAGATGTGGTTAGTGCCTTGTGGGAGAGCATGTACAGTTCGGAGGAGCAGATGGATCACAACAGTTTGGTGAGATTGATGCAGTAGGGAGTGACGCAAGGTTCTGGCAGATGCTCGAGGCTCAGAGGAAATCTCACATGTTGTTGGGTCTGGGTGCAAGCTCACTAGACAGCTGAAGCATTTTACATTTTGTCTGTGAGTATCATTGGGACACTGTCTTGTTGCAACTTTGCCTCTAATGCTGGTGTTGGTAAACCTGACCCTTACTTTGCCTCTAATGCTGGTGTTGCTAAACCTGATCCTTACTTTGCCCCTAATGCTGGTATTTGTAAGCCTGACCCTTACTTTGCCTCTAATGCTGGTGTTGGTAAACCTGACCCTTACTTTGCCTCTAATGCTGGTGTTGGTAAACCTGACCCTTACTTTGCCTCTAATGCTGGTATTTGTAAGCCTGACCCTTACTTTGCCTCTAATGCTGGTGTTGGTAAACCTGACTCTTACTTTGCCTCTAATGCTGGTGTTGGTAAACCTGACTCTTACTTTGCCTCTAATGCTGGTGTTGGTAAACCTGACTCTTACTTTGCCTCTAATGCTGGTGTTGGTAAACCTGACTCTTACTTTGCCTCTAATGCTGGTATTGGTAAACCTAACTCTTACTTTGCCTCTAATGCTGGTGTTTGTAAACCTGACTCTTACTTTGCCTCTAATGCTGGTGTTTGTAAACCTGACCCTTCTTGAATTGTTAGTGACTTTATGGCAGGGCTTTTCAACCAAGTGTTCTCAGAAGCCAGAATAGAAAGATCATTAAAATAATACAATTGCCAATGACCAGCGGGCCACTTGCCAGGCCTCAGCGGGCCACTTGCCAGGCCTCAGCGGGCCGGCTGCCTGTTGAATAGCCCTGCTTTATGGAGAAAGCACATTTTACAGGTAGTTTTTTGTGTGTTTAGTGTTTGGTTTAGTACCCTGTTCATTGTGTTTCATTAAATACAAAGTTCTCAATTTTTTTCCGTCTTCACTATGCAAAGATCCTAGATTATCTGCCGATTGAAAGTGCAGAGAAGGTCATCATCTATGACTCAGACCTGTCACACATCAATGCATCAAACACCAAGAGGTGGCAGATTGAGAAGGATCTTGTGGATTTCCCCATTCTGTCCAGTTTCAGCGTGGTCACCATCCATTTGAAAGTCAATGGCCAGTTGTCAGGAAGGCTGGCATTTGCAGTGATACGTGAGTTGTCATCTTCTTCTTTCTCCTCAGCCATTTATCATCCATCCAAGTGTATGCTATCTTTCAACTCATGTCAAGCTGTCCAGTCTTTTGTTATTTGCAGCTGCTGTCTTCATATCAGCATCATCATCCAGTCTTGCATAGATATGTCACATTGGACTCTTGGTTCCAGTGTGGGTTCCAGGGCCCCATTATGCGGAGAAAAATATTAGGCCCGCTGCCTCCCCAAAAAGCATGTTGTAAGAATTGACTAATTAGGAGCTTCTTGAAAGTCTTGAGTGCATCTGCGCAAGCAGCAAGGAACAACCAGCTGCACACAAATAAGCCAGTAAAACTGATGTACACACAAAACTCAGGCCCTGGCACAGAGCCAAAGTCCACATGGATGAACAGCCAGGACTTTCTGCTGGAGCTTACAGCCGGGGAACAAAGAAGAAGAAGAATAGCAAGACTCCTTGTCTAGCCCTTCATTCCATCTGATTCTGTGCAATCCTGGCAGTATCATGGATGGAATCCATACATGACAAGGCAGATGTGGTCAGTGCCCTTTGGGAACAAGCAAGGAATTCTGGAGAGAATGAGGCACCTGGGTGTAACCAGAGCGTCTGGCCGGCTCACTGTACTCAGAAGAAAGGCAAAAGGGACATATAACCAGACTGTGACCGATACCATCAGTACTGAAACTCTGCGCTGGCTGCTGAAGATGAGGGCAGAACATTTATGGAAATGCCACGAGTTCTGTGATGTCAATTCTTGACTCAACTTTCTAAGCATGCTTTCAGAGTCTGTTACAATTATGACATGTATATGCATCTTGTTCTCTAGCCACCGGAGAGCTACAGTTACCACCTCCACCTCCATTCTCATGCTAGATGTTGTGCATCTGCCTGAGTGTTGTGAAACCAACTGCATACAAATAAGCAGATCTGTTTAATGGATGTGCATGCAAAATTCCAAGTTCTGGAACAAGACTAGAGTCCAGAATGGATGAACAAACAAAACTCTCAACCAGAGTTTACAGCTGATAAACATTAAGAAGAAAAACACAGGCCAGCACCTTTGACCCCTCTCAAAAACATTTATCTCATGGTTTCTCCTGGGCATCCTTATTTCTACGATCCATTAGTTTCCCATTTATTTTACTAATGAGTGATTATCCCTCAACTTCTCATGATGAAACATTCTTTGACAGTTGACTTAATTTTGTCCACTATACAGAAACCTCTAGTACTGACAAACCAGACTTGAGGACTGCTGTGACCAACACAACTTTCAACTACAACAAAAATGGAGTTGTCACCAAGCACTACAACAATCCTTCCAACAAACGGCTGGAGTTGTTCTTTAGACACAAGGAGGAGACCATCTTGTTTAAGGCAAGTTAGAGTTGATGATGATACGTTTATTCCATCATCATTATTGTCATCATCATCATCATCATCATTTTGTCTTCGTCATTATTATCATCACCACTACCATCATTATCACTATCCTAATATCATTTTTTGTTGTCATCATCTTCTTTTTATTATCACAACTACCATCATTGACATCATTATTTTTGTCATCATCATCATTACCATCATCATCAGCACCACGCACAACAACTCTTCTATCAGACGGACCATCTGGATTTTCCCCCAGCCCACCATCGGGACCCTAAGAATTGAACTGCATTGGCACTGGTTTGAAGGCACTGCTCTGCACATCGGAAAGATGTTGCCTGAACCTCTCAGATAGTCACCGATGCCACATCTTTGATGTACCACATCTTTTGCAGACGATGGTGTCAATTATATTGTGACTCGTGCAATAGAATCTCTCACATGTATGGAAAGCAGCCTTAGGGGATACCCGATGATCCACCTGAACCACATACGGACAAGTGTCCCATGTGGGTCCAGGGACCCCATTGTGGTGAACCAGGAACAGACCCACTGCCTCCCCAAAGGCATGTCTTAAAAGTTGACTAACTGGTGGCTTCCTTCGAAGTCAGAATGCATCTGCCTGAGAGGCAAGGAACCAACAGTCTTTATACAAATAAGGCAGATCTGTAAATGGATGTACACACAACACAGGTTCTGAAACAAGTCTAAAGTACCAAGATGGATGAACGACCAGAAAATTATACCGGAGTTTACAGCCGGTGAACGTGAAGAAGAAGAAATTGACAAGTCTTGCATAAAGGTCTATAACAAGAGACTCAGCCGTGGGGGGAGGGGGTTGGGGAAGGGGGGGGACATAACCACATGTTGACTAGGATGTCCATAAGGTAATGGTAATATGTGTAGACCACAAGATGAAATTCAGAGGCAATCATGCTGTGCCAAGGTCAGTCTGTAGGTAGAATGTTTTTGGCCAAGATTTAGGGTGGTAGGTAAAGGTGAGGATGAAGTGTAGGCTTGGAAGTGATGGCCTCAGCATGATGGGTGCAACAAGGCAGAGACTATCTCTCGCGTGTGGGAGGAGACAACAAGTTTAACTAAAGATATTGGACACCGGTACCTGAAGAGAGTGATGCAGAGGAAGTGTCTGCGGACTCTAGGCACCACTCCAGTTTCCAGGGAGAGGCAAAACAAGTGGGTACCATCGGTATGCAAACTCTTCACTGGCTGTTGAGCAGGGAGATGGATTTTATATGGGCTTGTCCTGAATGCCCAGATGACCCACCCAGATTTGAAATTGTAGTTTTTAAATTGTTAAAATGTTAAAAAATTTGTTGTGTTTTAGGATGTGAAGATCTACAACAGCACTCAGTATACCATGCATATGCCTAGTGTGACCAAGTTCACAGATGACTACATCCCAACATACGAAGACATGACCCGACCCGAGCGTGTCGCAGTTATCAACTACACCGTCTTCCAGTGTGAGTTCAGGGACAATGCCATGGGAATTTTGGCTGAACACAATCATGTAGACTTTGCCAATAATGTTTGGAAATGGAGACTGGACCATGTAACAGTTCAAGGAACAAAAACAGGAGGGTTGGAGATCGAAGTTCCCCGTGTCAATGATTTTACTGAGAAGGAAACCCACGCAGTTACTGTTGTAGTTACCATTTTTCAGAATAATAACAATTTTGCATTTACAATTGCTGGCTATTACACTGTGATAAAGGTAGAAAATAATGCTTTCTTGAACAACGTCTGCCGTCTAGGCCTCATTTCTATCACAGGGATGGAGAAAAACATGACTGTTAACGGTAATCGGATTCAAGACAATATCTGTCGTTATATGGTGGATATTAACGTCATTAGCCACTCTGAATATTTTTCTTCAGTTATGGGCCAAATGGATTTGAATGACATCAGTAATAATCGTTACGAAGGGGAGATGCCTCCTGGTTCCGACAACAGCCCCAAGACTTACGCAGTAGCTGTGAGAGGGTTACAGAACTTGGAGGTCAATTTCAATTTATTCAGAAACCCTCAGCTTGATTATGAACTCGTTGCTGGTATCACATCAATTTTACTAGGGAGCTCAATGAATGCCACGCGTAATTTTTGGGGTTTTACAGACCAGCCGAACATTCGTAGAAGGATTTTTGATTTTGATGATTGGAATAACTATGCTATTGCCGAGTACTTTCCTTACCTGTCTGTAGCAGACCCAAACTCTGTGCCTACAACTGGAATCAGGGAAGAATTCTATCTGGACCCAAATCAACTTGGTGGTAGAGTGGAGAAGTCTCAGGTTTTGGCAGAAATTGGTCGACCTTATATTGTCACATCTGATCTGACAGTGATGCCAGGTGTCACTCTGACAATCACAGGAGGGACGGAGCTACAGTTTATGCCAGATGTAGGCATCCTTGTTCTTGGTCGTTTAGTGGCAAATGGTCTTCCAAACAGTCGAATAAAATTTCAACCTTTGCTGCCATCAAACAATCCCAAGTTTTCTCTGAGAAGACGGGATGTGTCCCTTGACAGGGAGAAACGTGAATCTGTTAATACAACGGTTCGTCTCCTAGGTGATGGCACTCTGTTTAAGGATGCAGGATTTTTGGAAATGTACAATTCCTCTACCAAAAACTGGAACATGATGTGTGATAGTCAGTTTCATGAGAAAACGGCCGAAGTCGTCTGCCGACAGCTGGGTAAAGAAGTAATTAATGTCAAGGTCAGATTCACCCACCTCTACGATTACTACATCTACGGCAAACCCATGTACTCTCGCAAAGAATTTTGGTACTATTCCTATTATTGTCGAGGCGATGAAACTTCTCTTAGCCAGTGTATCACTCGCTACAATTACAACTTGCTTGACTGTGTCTATGCCGCTAATTATACATTCATCACATGTGGTGACAGAAACCTTGACTCTAATCTGCAATACTGGGGAAATATTCGCTTTGCCATGGACTCCTACGAAGAGCAGCCTCTGGAGAAGGATATTGGGATTGATCGTTCCTCACTGACCTATGTTGACATTCACGGTGCTGGAATGTTACATGGGGAAAAGGTCGGTGCCGTTCAGTCCACCTATGTTACCCCCATTTTCAACAATATTAACATCTCTAATTGTGCTGAAAATGGCTACGACATTATTGCACCCAGGCAAAATTTGGACGTGCAGCTACAAAATATATCTGGCAATCTAGGCTTTGGCGTAAACATCCTTGTTTTAAATGGGGAATCCAGCATACATCGCTCATCCTTTCAACCGTCTGGTCCAAATACAATGCCATATTCTGTCCATGGACTTGTGGATATGTGCAGACTAGAAAAGGAAATTCAAGTAGAAACCAGATTGATCCTGTTTTACAAGTATGGACCATATACGAGAGACTGCGTCAAAATAATCAGGTCAGAGTCTTTACAAATGATTTGTACATATTATTTAAATAGCTTGAATCCAAGTGTGGGTTCCATGGCCGTGTCGGGTGAGGGAGGCAGAGAATAGATGACTGGCTTCCCTTCCCCAATGAGCATGTTGTAAGAGGTGACAAATGACCGGTGTTTCCTTCAATGTTGGAGTGTCTCTGCCTGACAGTCGAGGAACCAACAGTCTGCATACAGATAAGTCAAGTCTATAGAATGGATGTGCACACAAAACTCAAGTTCTGGATTAAAACCAAAGTCCAGAGGTAGACTGACAACCAGAACTTTCTGCTGTAGTTTACAATCAGTGAAACAGAAGAAGAAGAAGAAGAAGAAGAACTATTTAGGTAGGTAGGTAGGTAGGTAGGTAGGTAGGTAGGTAGGTTGCACCTCATCCATCACACAAGCCATAAACACCTGGTGACACAAAGTGCCACCATGCGAATGAGGATCACCCGTGAAGTCCTGGAAATCCCGTTTAGCCGTTAGGCATATTTAAGGCCCGGCTATATTTAGGGCCCCAAGCAAAAGCCAGGGTGGAGTTTCAAAATAACTAAAAATTGCATCCCATGAGGGGATGGCGGTTACTTAATTTAAGAACTGTTGAAACTGTCAAAGTGTAAATAGCTGGAAAACATAAAGCATAGATCAGCTTTACAAAATAATAATTTCAATAAACAAAGGATGTTGCCATTTGAAGCCTTCACCAGCAATGTGACCTATTAAGGCAGACAGCAGGAAGGCTAACCCGGTCAACAAAGGCCTGCAGAAGTCAGATGTATCGGCTGAAAGGTGTCAATATCACAGCCTTGCTGTAAACAGGCACAGTGCATTTTTATCTTCAGATGAACACCAGAAAAAGAAGAATATTATACAAACATGTAATCAAAATAGCTAAGCACAATAAAATAAAAAATTTTAATTTGACTCAGTGGCTCAGAATTGTAAATATTTTCCAGTTGTTGAAAATATTTGTTTCTTCTACGCTTCCTCATTAATTGCTTCTTGTGTTCTGGTTACCTTGACCATAGACACTTAATACTGCTGTAGTTTCTCTGATGTGTCTTTCATTGCCTTTTTTTCTAGCTCAGAGTTAATTAAGCTCTTTTTACCCACTGTCCAAAAAAGGTGACCTACAGGAGTGTGAAAACTATAGAGGAATTATGTTGCTGTCAGTTCCTGGAAAAATATTAAGTAGAATTATTTTGGAAAGATTAAAAGATGCTATTGATAAAATGCTAAGAGATGAGCAGGCAGGTTTTCGGTCAAACAGATCCTGTACTGATCAGATAGCCCCATTACGTATTATAATAGAGCAAAGCATTGACCTGAACTTACCACTTTACATTGGATTTATAGACTATGAAAAAGCATTTGACAGCATTGATAGGGAATATCTCTGGAAATTGACGGGGCACTATGGAATCCCACAGAAAATTATCAACTTAGTAAAGGCAACATATAAAGACATGAAATGTCGAGTTCTTCATGAGGGAAAGCTAACAGATGCATTTGAAATAAAAACAGGTGTGCGACAGGGATGTCTTTTGTCGCCTCTCTTATTTTTACTGGCTATAGATTGGACTATGAAAACAGTAACTGCTAACACCAAGAATGGAATTCAGTGGACCCCTACAAAACAGCTTGATGATCTGGACTTCGCTGATGATATTGCTCTTTTGTCCCATTCACGGAATCAGATGCAAGATAAATTAAATATACTTAATGCGAGATCACAGCAGCTTGGTCTGAAAATCCATAAAGGAAAGACAAAGATAATGAGAATAAATCAGGCAAATAGTAATGTGGTTTCTCTTAATGGCACCCCACTCCAAGATGTGGAGTCGTACACCTATTTAGGCAGTAATGTAGATAAAGATGGAGGAACTGATAGAGATATTAAAATAAGAATACAAAAGGCAAGAGGGGCTTTCATAGCACTAGGGAATTTGTGGAGGTCGAAAGAAATTAAAAGAAATACTAAACTACAATTTTTTAATTCTAATGTCAAATCAGTACTGTTGTATGGGGCAGAAACATGGAGAACAACCAAGGCAATTACTAATAAATTACAGACATTCATTAACTGGTGCCTGCGCAGAATAGAGGGAATAAAATGGTATGATAGAATAACTAATGTAGAACTTTGGGAGAGAACTAAACAGGCTCCAGTGGATCAGGAAGTGAGGAAAAGACGCTGGCGTTGGATAGGGCACACACTGAGAAAACAGGAGAACCCACAGGGGCATAGGAATAAAGGAAGGCCAAAAAACACATGGAGAAGAGAGCTGGAGAATGAGGTTAAAAAGATTTGGAGGACATGGGGAGAGCTCCATACAATAGCGAAGGATAGAACGACTTGGCGTGAGTTGGTTGAGGGCCTATGCTCCATTGGGGGATAGAAAGGCAGAAGAAGAATTGACCTTAATTATAAATATTTTGATAAAAAATACTGATCCCCTTCATATGAATTTTTGTTGTGTTGATAATGTCCTTGCAATTCTTTAGTCTCTGTTATCTTTTTTGCTGATAGATCTAGTATTTATACTATTAATATCCTGTTCAATCCTTCTGATTTATAATTTGGATGTGTAGTACTTGTATGTATTGTATTGTCTGTATTATCTCACAGATCAAAGCGAACTGTTGGCCTGCGATTTTTGCAAGTAAATCTGTTCCAAGAAGACTTTTCGCGAAACAGCATTGAAATCTATGATGGAGAAACTGCCACCGCTCCTCACATCGGACGGATTGTTGCCAACAGCAGCACTGACGACATGCAGCAGCTGTACCAAACCACCGGCAGTGTCATGGCCGTGCATATCCACGCGTCTGTCAGTTTTGGGAGCTTTGGTTTCATTGCTGAAGTGGTGAAGCTTCCTCTGTCTGGGTTGACATATCCAAGTACGGTGTGAACTAATGTTGTTTTGTTGTTGTAGTTATTAGCTTAAATTGTCTGTGAATTACAGCTTGGGGATACCACTTTTGATGTAAAGTTTGTTTTGATATTAAATAGTGGTTTTAATTTATTGTAGTAGTTTTGACATAAATCAGGGTTGTGACACATTACTTAAATATCTGTTGTATAATAAATGTGCATGTGTGTGTGTATATATAAATAAATATATAATATATAATAATTTAAAATATATTAATGTCATATATAATAATATAAAATATAGTAATGTAATATATAATGATTTAAAATATAATAATATAGAATAATATAATGTATAATAATATAATGTATAATAATACACTATATATTAATGTTATATAATAGTAATAATATAATAATATAATATATAGGGCTGTACCGAATACAAATAGCCGGCCAACTATTTGGCCAAATACGAATAGTGTATCATCATCATCAGGTGCCTTGCCGACTGGCGTGGGTAATTATGCCTCGCCACAATTTGCGATCTCCTGTAGCATGTATTAGTTCGTGTACTAACATACCTCAATGCGATGCAGCAAGACTGGCAAGAATCTTCTCTCGTTGTCTTCCTCCATCCCTCCTTCCACAGATCTTTCCAGTGGTCACCACATGTTACATTTTCCCTCTTCTCATAACATGGATGAAGAATTATGACTGTCTCCTTCTGGTGTCTGTGATCCGCTGCACCTTCACGAATACAGATGGAGAATCGGTCGCACCTTGAGATAAATACAAAGACAATTTTTAGCTTGCTGTGGTTGGCATTTTATGCAGTATGATGCACTTTGAGTGTGAAACAAGGGAAAAAAAACTCTTTTCGACAATGGCGAGGAAAGACAATTTTAAATTTAACTTTTAAGTATCTTCATGCCTTCTTTAATTATTTATGTCACATTATAGCTGACTTTTCTTGATTTTTGTCGCGGCACCCCTGGCATACGCACCGTTTGAGAACCTCTGCTGTAATGCCTTGGTCAAGTCAGAAGGCAAAGACCTTGTCAGCTGCTTTACCATGCAACCGGGTCGCAGTTTCCCCCGCTACGACAGACTTAGGCAACAGTAACTGTTGTGTTAATGAGAGAGTTATTTCAGTCCATCGCAGTGTATGCAGAAAGGGGTGTAAGGTAACCACTATTCCTATTCGGCTCGACCACAAGTATTCGGCCAAATACCGAATAGTTATTAGGTCCACTATTCAGCCCTGAAGCGAATACAAAGCGAATATTCGGTACAGCCCTAATAATATATAATAATAATATTACAGTATAATAATATAATATATAATATGTATTGATAGTATTAAATAATAAATTGATAATATTAAATAATTAAAATGTCTATATCCTAGTTATAGCCCAGGACAGGGTATAGTTGTTTGAATAACAACAACAAACAGATCAGTGGTTTTGATTCACGGAGTAATTGTTTTCATACAGACTATGAGTTTTATATTATATTACGTTACAAATGCTAGATAATCATGTAATTGTTTTCATACAGACTATCAGTTTTATATTATGTTACGTTGTTACAAATGCTAGGTAATCATGTAATTGTTTTCATACAGACTATGAGTTTTATATTATATTACGTTACAAATGCTAGGTAATCATGTAATTGTTTTCATACAGACTATAAGTTTTATATTATGTTATGTTACAAATGCTAGGTAATCATGTAATTGTTTTCATACAGACTATCAGTTTTATATTATATTACGTTACAAATGCTAGGTAATCATGTAATTGTTTTTATCAGTTTTATATTATGTTACGTTACAAATGCTAGGTAATCATGTAATTGTTTTCATACAGACTATCAGTTATATATTCTATTACGTTACAAATGCTAGGTAATCATGTAATTGTTTTCATACAGACTATCAGTTTTATATTATATTACGTTACAAATGCTAGGTAATCATGTAATTGTTTTCATACAGACTATCAGTTTTATATTATGTTACGTTACAAATGCTAGGTAATCATGTAATTGTTTTCATACAGACTATCAGTTTTATATTATGTTACATTACAAATGCTAGGTAATCATGTAATTGTTTTTTCTCCCAAATTGTTGCTTCTCTGAGATACTTCAGTAATGCATTCCCTGAGATGCCACTAATCCAACATCGCTGGATAACAGTAAAAGCTGCTAAATTAGCATTGCTACTTTGGCCAGTCCCTGACAAGCTAGTTATTGGCATTCATTCTTATTGCACCTGCACAGTGTTTAGAAGTGCCGGACAGTGTTTAGAAGTGCCGGACAGTGTTTAGAAGTGCCGGACAGTGTTTAGAAGTGCCGGACAGGTTTATAGTTACTAAAAAAAATAGTATTTGAGAAGTTTTATTATTTTAAAAACAACTTTTTTGGGGGGGGGGGGGGTGCATGATGGCGCAATAATTCTTGTTTAGCTATTAGTAGTTGTATAGCACAATAGTAGGCACTTATCAGCTGAAATGCTATAGAAAGATTCTTAGAATACCACGGACAAAGAACATAAGAAATACTGACATTTTAAAAGATCTGAACATCTAGGAAGATTGACCAATAAACAGCTTCATGTCTCGGAAGGTGAAATATTTTGATCATATCAAGCGCTGTGGGGGACTGTAAAAAATAATAGCAGAAGGCAAGGTACCAGGAAGGAGGTGCAGGGGCCGACCAACACGAAGATGGGCACAGGATATAAGTGACTCCTCGAATGTGAAAGTGCATAAGGTGGGAGAGCTGACAAGAGACTGAGTTTCTTTTAGGCAGACTGTGATGGGAGTGACTTTCTGCAAAGCACCTGCTAAATGAGTTGTCTAGCAATGAGGCAACATTGTGAAACACCATATAAATAAATACTTTTAGGCCCAAGAGATATATAGATATATATTTTATATATATGTGTGTTTGTGCATGTATGCGCACGCGCATATGTGCGGCCGGCATAGTACTGACCACCACAGCCAATATGTCTAAAATGCCTGAAGGTCTTTTAAGGGATTCTTTTATATATAGAAATATGCACACACGTACATTCTTGTGGCTTACTGCACTAGATGATAAGGGCTGATCCCACAATAAAAAAGGTAGTAATAATAATTTGTCAGAGATATCCTGTTCAACGGTTATGGGCTTTAATTGGGATGTGTAAAGTTTTTGTATTTTCACATGCTGGATATTTTTTAATGAATTAAAAAAAATTAAGTTATGAGGAAAGTAAAGAAGAGATCAGGAGGAGGAGAAAGAGAGGGCCAAAGTGTTTTTATGCATCAATTATGTAATCTGATTTGTTATTGTTTCTGTCCCCTGTTCCACAGATAGTGATTATCGACACAACATTCAGCAGTGTGAGATTCGTTACAATCAAGATGGAGCTCTACAGTACAAAACTGTCGGAGAAACCACCCCCTCCCTGTACATTGAACATTGTTGGATGGGGGACAATGGCTATCCTATTTTGAACCTGACATCTCCACCATCTATTGACATCTCCTTGCAAAGCATTATTAATTTTCGATTTTCACACAACCAGGTAAATGTTTTGTATGTTAAAATTCTTCTTATATGGTGTTGTTTGTCTATCCAAAACCTTCTGTGTCGTGTACTTTTAGTCAGTTCTGACACTGATGATCTGCCATGCTGTGTGGCGCTGGTGGTCATGTCCATCCACAACTTTCTATCTCGTGTACTTTCAGTCAGTTCTGACAATTATGATCTTCCATGCCATAATGTCAAGCCCTCCAGTATCTTCTCTATGTCTCCCTTTCTGTCAAGACATCTTCATTACTCTTGTTATCTGTCCAGGATGATCAGAAGGTGAAGAAGAGATAATGAAGAGGCTGGGCTGAAGGAGTATTCTCATCATTTGTCTATGTTAACATTACATGACAGGTTTTCAGTCAGCTGCTATCGCCACTATGAAGGTTGTCTGCTGTGGATCTCTAATACCCTCTCTTTCTCATCCTGGTTTTTTCAGGACCCTCGCCCATGCTATGGATTTTGTGCACTGCCCTGAGATTCTTTAGACTGAGGCTTGAGTTAGAAGTAGAATAGAGCACTTATGGGTTACCACCCTTGTGCCTTGATTTTGATCTGTTGTATATACCTCAACTTGAGACTGCTGTTTGTCCATACCATCATGTTATCCTCCCACTTATATCACTGTCTGTTTCTTGCTCTTTTGTCTTCACTTCTCCTTCCAGTAGAGCTGGCAAGAGACTGAGCTTCTTTCAGTCAGACCGTGATGAGAGCAATGTTCTGCTAAGGACCTGCAACATGATGATGATGAGTGTCATTATAAGTGTGTTTTGTCTATTAATATGACCAAAATATTTTACTTGTCTTTTTATTTTATAAATTTTTGTTAAATATTTTATTTCCGTCTGTCATTTCCACTTTCTTCAGAACTTCTGCATTTTATTGTTTTTGTTTCCATGAGAAATTACTTAATCTTCTGTGTATCCACATATGGTAGGTATTGCATCATATGTATTAAGGTTTGGGCCAGAAATGTCCAACAGCTTTTGAAACAACAGAACAACTTTGTTTAAAAAAAAAATTATAATAATAATTCCTGACACCAATTGCAGTCTGTAGGATTAACATCCCAAGGAAGAGAATCAAACAGCAGAAATCCTGTACGACCCAATTGTTCTGTTGCTTTGCTTTAACAAGGTTTTTCTTTTAAATCGTCACATTCAAACAGTATATCCGAAGGGGGAGCTTCAGGTTATAATGGTGACTAGGCTATGTGCACCATACAAAATGCTTTAGCATTGTCCGCCACTAAGAGCCCTGAAAAGGACCCCTGCAGTGTTGATGCGATCAAAGGTGACAGACTCAAATACTGTCCTGACCGATGACAAAGTCATCTACGGGCAAGCCAGTGGGTGACCCGGTCACTGATGTGCTTGCCCCATTAAACCATATAACACAGTTATACTGGAGCACCTGGTGGTTGCTCACTTTTAGTCTTGAGTTGCATGGATTCACATACAGAATAACTGTTTCATCTTGTCAACCACAATTTCTAGAACAAATGGATCATGAACCCTTGGGAATTTTGGAAATGTTTTCTTTTTTAAAACTATTTCGCACAGGCTATAAAATTGCTTTAGAGTCGCCGTAGGGTAGCAGCGAGATGCTCGCCTGCGGAACTAAAGGTCGTGGCTTTTGGTCCAGACACAGCCGGGCATTTAAAAAAATGTAGCATGGCTCCCATGTCGACCCAGCCATGAGCGGGCACCATGCAAAGTCATGGAAAGTAAAGGCGGCCGTCATAATGTTCTCCACATCACCCACCAAGTGCTTTTTTGGTCTATTAAGTATAGGTCTAGCCCTATGTACCCAGTATGCCGGAAGGTTTAAAACTGTTTATTATCATATACATTTATATCTCAGTTATAACCTGAAAGGGTTGAACAGGATACTGTTGTTCAAATGACTACAACTCAATTATTTCAGGTGTCCTATAACAAGGGAGGCATGTACCTGTATGCATACACCAGCTCGCTGAATACAGCCCTGAAAGGAAATTTTACCAACAATGTTTTTGCTTTTGGCAAAAATGGAGAAGCCTTGAACATTTCTGGCCATTATTTCCAGCATCTGATGTTTTTCCAGAACTATGTTTACAATTATACGGCAGGTAAGAAAATCTGCATGAGAACAGTGCCGTGTTTTCATGAAAATAAAACACACCCCAAAAAAACCTGGCATGATTTTTCAGAATGATTTTAATATAAAACCTACTCTAAAAATAAGCCCTGGTTAAGATTTTTGGCCAGAATGAGAGACCTATTGCCAAATGGCCACTCAGAGTACAGTTACCACTGGTGCACACATGATAATGAATGGATGTGGTTCATAATGGAAACTTTAGTTCACCTAATTGCTTCCACATGGCCAAAGTAACTAACAACAATTGCTTGAAAGAAGCTAATGAAAGTAGATCTCTATATACAACAATAAGAAAGAGACAAATACTGTTATTTGGCCACATAATGAGAAGAGAGACATTGAAAAACATCCTGACAACTGGAAAGATTAGTGGAAAAATGGGTAGAGGCAGACCAAGAGAGATTATGGATGAGCTGAAATGATGGCATTGAGGGATATCATCAAGAGAGCTGTTCCAGGCAACCAGGGATTTGTGGAGAGGCATGAGCCAGTTGGCAGGGCACATGAGGATGATAATGATGATTGCTTCCATGGTAGGTAATTTTATTTTCAGACTGCTGAAGTCACAAAATATTGTCCATAAATTGAAGAAATTGAAGTAGATGCTGCAATGTCATTCATTTTATAACTTTTCTGAAATTCATGACACCTCCCAAGTAAGGAAAACAGGTTTATTCTGTTAGTTTGAATGACTGTTTGTGTTTTGGCTCATGCAAAATTTCCCCAGCAATCCAAATTTCAGTTTGTCTTTTTTTCATCTGTTGTGAAATCTGTCCATCTACAAACTTTAGACAGACAGCTTCTTTTGTTGTTTTGGGATCATTTCAGAAGGGTCTTAAGACAAGCAATAATTTTGAAAAAATTGATCTGTGTAATCACATACACAGGTGGGGACTTTTTTCACATTTGTAGCATTAACATGACTAAAACACATGAAAGACATTGAAGAGCTCTCTTATAAGTGAAGAAAATTCTTACCTGCAAGTGTGTAACTTTTATACCCACTAATTACCACCTACAGATAGTCGAGGACGTATACCTATCACACCTACTTAAAGGGTTAAGGGTACATACAGTCTTAGCAGTATAGTGTTGCTTTTGCTGCGATACAGAATTAATGCCAGTTGTGTAAATAGGAGAGCCTTGGCAGGGCAATAGATTGCCTGCCAACCTGGTGGTTATAGGTTAATATCAGATTTTGAAAGTTTAGATAATGAATGTTACACATTATGTTTACATGTTTGAATTTTCAGGAACTGAAGGTTGGGATGAATGTTTTGATTCTGCCAGTAGTGATGCTGCCATATTTTCTGTTTTAAACAGGCGATTACCGGGATGTTATTCACATCAAGGATGTGTTAGTGAACCTCACACACAACTATATCGTTAGGAATCTCGGACACTACATCATTCATACCTATGACAGGTATGTTGTTGCCTTCTAGTAGTGGTAGTAATTTAATCAACATTATCCTAGCTAAACATATGGATTATAATTTTGATATATAGAATGATTGTTTATTTTGGTATAAGCAACAAGAAAATGGAACTGAGTCTATGGAGGTGTGGGTATACAGAAGAACAGGTCCTATTTCATGGACATCAAAACAGTCCAGTACTGAGGTTCTGGACAGGCTACAAATGAAAAGAGAATTACTGAAAGAGATCAAAAGGGCAGAATTGAAATACTTTCGCCACATTAAAAGACATAACACACTTTTAAAAACCATACTGGAGAGAGAAGTCACTGGCAAGACAGCAAGAGGTAGGCAATGATACAAGTAGGAGGACAACATCAAAAGATGGAGGGGCAGTAGTCTGAGAGAGTCTACAACCAGGACAAGAGACAGAGCAGGTTGGAGATCCATTGCAGCCAACCTTCAGTATGGAGATGGCACCTGATTGATGATTGTGTTCTCTGGGAAGTGTGGTGCATGGCCATGATGTTTTCTAGCAATTGTCCTTGTATTCCATAATCCTCAGGAGAGCGCATAGTTTGTTTTTGTCCACTCTATCAGAAGCTTTTTCTTGATCTACAAACATGGTATTTAGTTCATCGTCATATTCAATGGTTTTCTCGCAACTTTGTGTTAATGCATCTTTGCAATGAGAAAATGTTGAATTAAGAATCAACATCACAGCACTCAGGACACTGCCATAAGTGCTCAGTCCCAATCTTCAGTAGCGAGTGAAGATTTTTAATTCTGATAGTATCAGTAACCATCTGATTGTTTATCCGTCTCATCCTTTCCCTGAGTGTTGAGCGTTGGCCAGATCCCCTGGTAACTCCTCGCAGTGCCATTCTCCTTAGACCGTAATGATCTATCTGCACCTCCACACTATTCACTCACTTCCAAAGGGCCTTCACAATATCTTATCTTGTCACACATCAATTCACCACCAAGTGGTGCTGAGCCGGCCAGTCTATCTGTCTACTCACTTCCCAACACACCGACATGACATGAAGAAAATATCCAAAGGATGCTAACTACCCTGGACTTCTGAAGTGATGCTTGCCACTCTGCTCGAACCATGCCTGACTCCACCATTCTCAGCATGTTTGAGAAAATGTTGAAAATGAGAATCGTCACAGACAAGAGTCCCGAGCCCAGCCTAGAAAGATCAGTAATACAATAGGCAGTGATCACTGGGCCATTTGCTAGGCAGGATCCAGCTCACTAGCAGCGCCACCCCCATCTTCAGCAGCCAGCACGGAGTTCCAGTGGATCCAACAGCAGCCAGAGTTTATGTCCATCTTGCCTTTCTTCTGAGTGTCAGCCAAATCCCCTGGTGTGTCAGTCTTGGGTGTGATCATAAGTTAGAAGTATTGGAAACAACAATTATAGAGAAAATAAATTAAAATTTGAGGTTAGCCCAGTCAACAAATACCTGAATAAATCACATTTGTCAGATGAAAGGCATAAATATCACAGCTCAGCTGTAAGCAATAAGTAATGTTCAAAGTAAAAAATAAAAAACACTGTGGATGTATCAGGTAAATGAAGATTAAGTAGTAACTAGACCAGAGGGGAACAGCTCTCTTGAACAAAAGATGCATATATTCACCACCAGTGAAAATGAACCACTTCTCAAATGAGATGTTTGAGATAGGCCGTTAACAAAACCAGGAGAGATCATGTAAGAAATGAAGAAATTAGAAAAACCTCCGGAGAAATATCCATCATTAATTTTTTGAGAAATAAAGCCCAAAATAATTCAACAACTTTGTGAGAATCTATCTAACGATGCCAGTAGCAGGAGTGTGGGACATGAAAATGGAGGCGCCAAGAGATAGAGGAAGACATAGAAGTAAATAGATTTAGGAGTCACTGACAGCCTTAAAGAACAACTGGCCAAATTGTTAGAATGCTGTGCTCCCAAGCAGGAGACCTAGGTTCAGTTCCTCAGTAAGCTTGGGGATTTTTCTGAAGGGGGCAAAAATAAAATCCCAACCTGCACAGTCCGTGGCAACAGCACCAGACATGCAGCTGTAAATCCTCAGGCTCAAAGACCTTCCTGCCTATACCACAAAAGTGGGAGATACAGTCAGGAATTGGCAGTTTTTAGCAGTAACTGATAGCCTAAGACTTCACAGCATCAAAGTGTACCAAGCAACTGATGCCTTCCGTCTCACCTCAGCTACCTAACTCTGTTCAACTGTGATGCCTTCTGTCTTACCTCAGCTACCTAACTCTATTCAACTGTGATGCCTTCCGTCTTACCTCAGATAACCTAACTCTGTTCAACTGTGATGCCTTCTGTCTTACCTCAGCTACCTAACTCTATTCAACTGTGATGCCTTCCGTCTTACCTCAGCTACCTAACTCTGTTCAACTGTGATGCCTTCCATCTTACCTCAGCTATCTAACTCTGTTCAACTGTGATGCCTTCCATCTTACCTCAGCTACCTAACTCTGTTCAACTGTGATGCCTTCTGTCTTACCTCAGCTACCTAACTCTGTTCAACTGTGATGCCTTCTGTCTTACCTCAGCTACCCAACTCTGTTCAACTGGTTCAACTGTAATGCCTTATGTCTTACCTCAGCTACCTAACTGTTCAACTGTAATGCCTTCCATCTTACCTCACCTTCCTAACTCTATTCAACTGTGATGTCTTCTGTCTTACCTCAGCTACCTAACTCTGTTCAACTGTGATGCCTTCCATCTTACCTCAGCTTCCTAACTCTATTTAACTGTGATGCCTTCCATCTTACCTCAGCTACCTAACTCTGTTCAACTGTGATGCCTTCCATCTTACCTCAGCTACCTAACTCTGTTCAACTGTGATGCCTTCTGTCTTACCTCAGCTACCTAACTCTGTTCAACTGTGATGCCTTCTGTCTTACCTCAGCTACCCAACTCTGTTCAACTGGTTCAACTGTAATGCCTTATGTCTTACCTCAGCTACCTAACTGTTCAACTGTAATGCCTTCCATCTTACCTCACCTTCCTAACTCTATTCAACTGTGATGTCTTCTGTCTTACCTCAGCTACCTAACTCTGTTCAACTGTGATGCCTTCCATCTTACCTCAGCTTCCTAACTCTATTTAACTGTGATGCCTTCCATCTTACCTCAGCTACCTAACTCTGTTCAACTGTGATGCCTTCCATCTTACCTCAGCTTCCTAACTCTATTCAACTGTGATGCCTTCCATCTTACCTCAGCTTCCTAACTCTATTCAACTGTGATGCCTTCCATCTTACCTCAGCTTCCTAACTCTATTCAACTGTGATGCCTTCCATCTTACCTCAGCTTCCTAACTCTATTCAACTGTGATGCCTTCCATCTTACCTCAGCTTCCTAACTCTATTCAACTGTGATGCCTTCCATCTTACCTCAGCTACCTAACTCTATTCAACTGTGATGCCTTCCATCTTACCTCAGCTTCCTAACTCTATTCAACTGTGATGCCTTCCATCTTACCTCAGCTTCCTAACTCTATTCAACTGTGATGCCTTCCATCTTACCTCAGCTTCCTAACTCTATTCAACTGTGATGCCTTCCATCTTACCTCAGCTTCCTAACTCTATTCAACTGTGATGCCTTCCATCTTACCTCAGCTTCCTAACTCTATTCAACTGTGATGCCTTCCATCTTACCTCAGCTACCTAACTCTGTTCAACTGTGATGCCTAGGGACACAAAGCAGATATTATCAGGAGAAGAGAAGTTGATTGTTCAGTAATTCTGATTCAGACTGTGTACACACACACATGCATACACACGCACACACACACACACATTTACAGGTGACCACGTTCAACCTGCTGTAGACTGTTTTCACTGTGTGTAATGTTCAGTTATATTTGTAGTCTGGTTTTTGTGTGCCAGAAGTGACAGCTTGGTTTCCCTTTCCAAGTGTATCATCCATCCATGCATGTCTAGGTCCCATTGTGGTCCTGTTTTGCCCTCTCCTTTGTTAGGTTTGTCTCCTTTGGTCTGGTTGTGATAGGTGTACATAATTGTAACATCTGCCCGGGAGAGTTGATTGTCCATGTCTCCTATATATAGTCCTACGAGGGCTTGGTTGTGATAGGTGTACATAATTGTAACATCTGCCCGGGAGAGTTGATTGTCCATGTCTCCTATATATAGTCCTACGAGGGCTTGGTTGTGATAGGTGTACATAATTGTAACTTCTGCCCGGGAGAGTTGATTGTCATGTCTCCTGCATGTAGTGCTACGAGGGCTTGGTTCTGTTAATGATATTCTTACAGTCTGTGAATGGTGCACTTTCAAGCACGAAAGGTTAAGATTTTAACAAGATAATAATTTTCATAAACCGTGTATAGTTTTATTTTGCTTTGAAAATACAAAACTGTGTTTGTCTTTTTTTTCCAAAATGAAATTTAGTGATGATAGTACAGACACCCAAATCTTTGCTCGTAACGGCATTTATAACAACAACGCCACAGCACTGAGAGAAGCCACCATCAAAATTGGCCAGGGAATGCCAAAGTTTGTGAACAATTTTTTTGTCAATCCATTGAATGATTTTGAAATCGCAACTTATCCAAAACCATCGTAAGTAAAAATTGTGTTTTTGTTGTTGTTTGTGTTAACAGTCTTATTTGTTACCAGGGCTTGAAGAGGAAGCAAAGGTAAAAAAAAAATGCAGCCTACCAGGCATATTGTTTGATGTGACTAATGATAGGTTTGGAGTTCGCTGCCACATCCTGTTCAGGTCCTGGAGAATCCAGACTTCAGTAAAAAATATTTAAAAAACTTGGTTCCCAGCCTTCAATGGGTAGCAGGTAAAGTCCTTGGAAGTAAAGGGGGCTGGTATGATGCTGACCACATTCCACACCGAGGGCTGATTAGTCAGTAAAATACAGGTCTAGCCCTATGTGTCAAAACATATGAGGGTGTGGAAAAGGGTTCTTTCCTTTTTAAAAAGTAAACAAGTAAAGATCCCTTTTCCCACCTAAGGCGCATTGGGTATTTGGGAAGAGTGTCCCATAATTTTACAGACCAGTCGGCACCGGATGGGTAATGTGGTCAGCATTACGTCGGCCGTCTTTACTTTCCCAGGACAGCCATCCTGGTACCCATTTTAGGCTGGGTCGACCTTCGACGCCCCATACCATGATTAAAATCCACACAGCCAGCAGTGGGTTTTGATCGTGGTACGTTGTATTACGAGTCGGACTCACAACGCCTAAGCCACGGCGCCGCCTTTCCTTTTTACCTCATCATTTAATAAAGGTAGTTGCAAAAACCAACCCTAAAACTCCAAACATGCACTAACAGATGATTATGCAAAACAGTGAATGAAAAGATCTGACCAAATCATGTAGAGCTTTTGAGAGAACTAAACAAATTCAAGTAAAGTAGGAGGCGAGAGAAAGATACTGATAATGGATAGGACACAAACTGAGAAAATCTGTTAACAATATAAGTAGATTATCCTTTCATTGGAACCAAGCAGGTCAAAGGAATAAAGGCAGGCCAACAAACACTTGGAGAAGAAGCTCAGGTAAATGATGTGCACATGATAGGGAGCTTTTGAGGTGAGCTACAATCGATTGGAAAGAATAACTTTAAGTGGGCAACTTTTTTTTAACTGAGGCGGGGAAATTATTATTGTCTTCATCTTCTGCCTTTCTAATCCCCAGTGGAGCATAGGCTCTCAACCAACTCACGCCAAGTCGTTCTTTCCTTCACTTTCACACACAGCTCTCCCCATGTCCTCTCATATTTTTTAACTTCACTTTCTAGCTTTTTTCTCCATGTGTGTTTTGATTTTCCTTTTATTCCTATGCCTCTGTGGGTTCCAGTGCAAGGACATTCTAGTTATAAATTGTTACTGTAGTCTATAAAACTCTGATGTGGTTGTAATGTGAATGGTAGAATTATACAATGTAATGGTTTAAGGTTATTTTTTGTTATCCATATCGACATCCTAGCACAAGGGTCCGACCCAGTAACACTCTACCCTCCTATTTTATGTAAACAGAAAGATCACATAATCAATTTGAAGTTAACATGGTAAAAACTTGACGCAACAGCTGATTTACTTAGGCTCTTCAGTAGAACAATCTGTACTGCAGTGGATTCCAGGTCACTGTGGCTTGGAAGGCAATGAAATAGCGGACAGATTGGCCAGAAGCGGCAGTGACATGATACACCCAAATAGCCTCTTAACCCACCAAGAGATGAAAACACTAATACAATCTAGTATCCAAGAAAGGTGGCTGGATACCCACACCAGATTTTCTCCCCAGGACTCACTTCATCGCCTCTCTAGAGAGGGACAGTGTATTATATTCAGACTAAGGACAGGGCACAACAGATTTCATCAACATATGTTCACATTTTTTGGTGTAGGAAATACGGAGACGTGTCCCTGCAGCGTGGCACCCGAAAATGCTGAGCATGTGCTCCAACACTGTCAACTGTATGCTGACAACAGAGACGCAATCTGGCCTGTTCCAACCACACTGAAGACAAAACTGTATGGTACACGAGAGGATATGGATTGCACGATAGCTTTCATAAAGGCTACCGGCCTCCTGATATAAGTTTTCTGACAGAAGGATCGAAGAAGAAGAAGAAGAAGACACAACTGATTTTGAATTTCCGGCGGATAGATGTACAGAAACTATGTAGCACAGCTCTCTTCTTCGTTGCGTATTTTGTTGTAACACCCAGGTTCGTCTTTAGGTTTGCTACAGGAGGAGTCGATTGGAAGATTATAGACGAGGAGAAAGATGGTCGTGTCGATGCATGCTTCTCATATGACTCGGATGCTTGTATAATAGAATGGCTGGAAACAACTATTCTTGTCTATACTGTCTTTATTGTGATACTTCAACAATGTCACAAAATAACATCCATGATTTTCTGAAAGGCGCTGTGTTCTCTCTATGGCTAAATACTCTTGAGGTTCGTGTTGTGTTTTTTCTCCCTATGGTTGCATACACTTAATGTCGCGTTGTGTTCTTCATCTCTAGTTACTTTGTTTCTAGTGTCTGTAACTGCCACCTGGCTTCTAGTGCTGTCTGGTACTAACGGATTGATCGTGGACTCTAACATCTTACAGTGTTCCTACCTAATGTGTCTCCATTAACCATGGATCCAGGTATCTTGTGTGCTGTCTCTGTAGTTTGATATCTTCTTCTTTCATGTCTGCTCTGTCTTCGAGGCTAAATTTGACTGGCTCCTCTCCCTCTAGGGTTGAGTTGGCATCTCCAAAACTGCGAGTGTCATTGAGACTAGTTGCTCGTCCTCTGAGTCTCAACGACTGAAGGCATTCTTTGAGTTAAGCTGACATCTCTACGACTGAAGACTGCTTTGAGAGTCCCTGTGACTGGTCTCTCCTCTCTTGAGTCTTGTGGACTGAAGAATCTTCTCTGGGGGTTTCTCACATATTACTTGGGTGCTGGAATGCTAGTTATTTGTTTTCTTCTCACTTTTTCTGCTTCTAGAATATTCTAGTAAGTCTCAACTTGTTTACTATATGCGTTTCATCATCCTATTCTGCGCAAATGTAGTAGTTATATTGACAGCTGACGTCAATAGACTCCTAGAAAACAAGTGCTACTAGGTTCTCTCTGAAAGGGCAAGGCCAACAATGACGTCAAATACTATTTATAAAAATTGTTTCTAAAACTTGTTGATTTTCTTCTCATCAAATACTACGCAAAATACTATTTTCTAACAAACACGTGATGACGTCAATTTTCAGTTTTGGCAGGGAAAAATGAAGGTTACCAAAACTTGTTGATCTCCTAATATTCTAGCTTTGTGCCTCCTAACAAACAATCTATGACGTTACTCTGCTACAACTTGACAGTGTGGTTTATGCATGTCAGCAAGAAAAGGATTCAATTTTATACTTCATTATATGTTGGTTTAACTCTGTAGTAATGCAAAATATGCCAGGCAACAAACTGTGCAATGTATTGTCTGTGTGCACATTATTTAAAAATTACAGTGTAAACATTGTTAGTTCTAGGTTTAAAAAAAAAGAAGAATCCTGCTAGTTACAAAGCCTTTTTCTTTGTCATCTATATTTCTCTGTTCTGTGTGTCAGTGCCAGATTTCAGTGTGAGTTATAGCCCTTATCATGGGGGGGGGGGAGGATTAATTAAAATCATGCTTCAAGTTACACCATTGTTCTGTAATCATACAAATTCTTCTGAGAGTTACAACCTTTGTTTTGTTATAGGCCTAATACACAGCCTATTGACGCTAAAAGCAACTGGTGGGGCTCTGAACGGGAAGCTTACATCAGTGGGAAAACATACGACTCCTCTGATGATAGCTCACTTGTTGAGGTGGAGTTCTGGCCTCCAGTTCTGGATAACAGAACTCTTGTAGAAGGTGAGTGCATAAATATAATGCTTTGTGTATGTTATGTTATTTTACATCACGGCACATTTGGCACTCATTCACATGAGAAGAAAAAAGCTTTCTAATCAGCAGGATTCTGGTTCTGTTCTTTGATGCAGGAACCACTGTAAGGCACCTCTGCTAACTGTTCCCATGAGGAGCTGGCTATAGTGTCTCTTTATCTTGGCCTCAAAGGTGGTATAGAAGTGCTTCACATGCTTTATTGCCGTGTGAGAAATTCATTATTATCCACTAGTGCAGCCCATACAGTGTTGATAATATCTCTCTGCCATAATTCTTCCTGCATGTGTTGGTGTCTGGCTTGCCAGTTGGTCTGCTGACCAGCCTTCATTCACAGACAGTTTTTTGACTTCACCTCTGTTTTATAACAAGTTCTTAACCACGCCATCACTTACTGACAGTTATTTGACCATACTTCCAGTCACTAACCACATGTGGTCCATTACTTACCTCCAATCATTAGGAAAAAAACTGAGGCTTTTGAACTGAAATGCCATGGAATGATTTTTAGGTGAGGGGCCGAATATAACAAAAAAGAGCACAGGATATAAGAGACACCTTGGACAGGAGAGTGTGTGAGGCAGGAGAGTGTGTGAGACAGGAGAGTGTGTGAGGCAGGAGAGTGTGTGAGGCAGGAGAGTGTGTGAGGCAGGAGAGTGTGTGAGGCAGGAGAGTGTGTGAAGCAGGAGTGTGTGTGAGGCAGGAGAGTGTGTGAGACAGGAGAGTGTGTGAGGCAGGAGAGTGTGTGAGACAGGAGAGTGTGTGAGACAAGAGAGTGTGTGAGGCAGGAGAGTGTGTGAAGCAGGAGTGTGTGTGAGGCAGGAGAGTGTGTGAGGCAGGAGAGTGTGTGAGGCAGGAGAGTGTGTGAGGCAGGAGAGTGTGTGAGGCAGGAGTGTGTGTGAGGCAGGAGAGCGTGTGAGGCAGGAGAGCGTGTGAGGCAGGAGAGTGTGTGAGGCAGGAGAGTGTGTGAGGCAGGAGAGTGTGTGAGGCATGAGAGTGTGTGAGGCAGGAGAGAGTGTGAGGCAGGAGAGAGTGTGAGGCAGGAGAGAGTGTGAGGCAGGAGAGTGTGTGAGGCAGGAGATAGTGTGAGGCAGGAGAGAGTGTGAGGCAGGAGAGTGTGTGAGGCAGGAGTGTGTGTGAGGCAGGAGAGTGTGTGAGGCAGGAGAGTGTGTGAGGCAGGAGAGTGTGTGAGACAGGAGAGTGTGTGAGGCAGGAGAGTGTGTGAGGCAGGAGAGTGTGTGAGGCAGGAGAGAGTGTGAGGCAGGAGAGTGCATGAAGCAGGAGAGTGTGGGAGGCAGGAGAGTGCATGAAGCAGGAGAGTGTGGGAGGCAGGGGAGTGTGGGAGGCAGGAGAGTGCATGAAGCAGGAGAGTGCATGAAGCAGGAGAGTGCATGAGGCAGGAGAGTGCATGAAGCAGGAGAGTGCATGAAGCAGGAGAGTGCATGAGGCAGGAGAGTGCATGAGGCAGGAGAGTGTGGGAGGCAGGGGAGTGTGGGAGGCAGGAGAGTGCATGAAGCAGGAGAGTGCATGAGGCAGGAGAGTGTGTGAGGCAGGAGAGTGCATGAGGCAGGAGAGTGCATGAAGCAGGAGAGCTGCTGGGGGACCAAGTTTTTTTGGTGGGGGTTGTGGTGGGAGCCTTGTTCTGTAAAGAACCTGCTACATAATGAAGACTTACCTTCAGTAAATGCATTCTATTGTACATGCATTACAATAATTTTTGTTGTTGTTTGTTCAGGAAACTGTTTGCCTGGTTGGGTTTTTGATCAGAAGCGATGTTACCGATACATGGGCGGTGCTCTGCCCTTTGAACAAGCTAAACAGTTCTGTCAGGTGATTGATTGATGTCCATTGTTTATTGTCACTTTGAGAGATGTGGAAGTAAGAACAGTCAAGTATAACTGAAAAGGTAATTTCCCTAGACAAAGATTGTGGAGTAGAAGAGGAAATGGAAGAAGAGGGATAGGGAGAAGAAGAAATGGAAAAGAAGGAAAAAGAAGAATTGGAACAACTCACGTTTCCAGGCCCTGGCTCCACCCATATACACGCTTATAAAGGATAGAGGTGGGACAGGACCATGCTTATAAAGAATAGAGGTGGGACAGGACCACACTTATAAAGGATAGAGGTGGGACAAGACCACACTTATAAAGGATAGAGGTGGGACAGGACCACACTTATAAATAATAGAGGTGGGACAGGACCACACTTATGAAGGACAGAGGTGGGACAGGACCACACTTATGAAGGACAGAGGTGGGACAAGACCACACTTATAAATAATAGAGGTGGGACAGGACCACACTTATGAAGGACAGAGGTGGGACAGGGCCACACTTATGAAGGACAGAGGTGGGACAGGACCACACTTATGAAGGACAGAGGTGGGACAAGACCACACTTATAAAGGATAGAGGTGGGACAGGACCACACTTATGAAGGACAGATGTGGGACAGGACCACACTTATGAAGGACAGAGATGGGACAGGACCACACTTATAAAGGATAGAGGTGGAACAGGACCACACTTATGAAGGATAGAGGTGGGACAGGACCACACTTATGAAGGACAGAGGTGGGACAGGACCACACTTATAAAGGATAGAGGTGGGACAGGACCACACTTATGAAGGACAGAGATGGGACAGGACCACACTTATGAAGGACAGAGGTGGGACAGGACCACACTTATAAAGGATAGAGATGGGACAGGACCACACTTATAAAGGATAGAGATGGGACAGGACCACACTTATGAAGGACAGAGATGGGACAGGACCACACTTATGAAGGACAGAGATGGGACAGGACCACACTTATGAAGGACAGAGGTGGCACAGGACCACACACATAAAGGATAGAGGTGGGACAGGACCACACTTATGAAGGATAGAGGTGGGACAGGACCACACTTATAAAGGATAGAGGTGGGACAGGACCACACTTATCAAGGACAGAGGTGGGACAGGAGCACACTTATGAAGGATAGAGGTGGGACAGGACCACACTTATGAAGGACAGAGGTGGGACAGGACCACAGTTATGAAGGACAGAGGTGGGACAGGACCACACTTATCAAGGACAGAGGTGGGACAGGACACTGTGGTTGGACATTTAGACTCTGCCTTGAGCTGTCAGACGGTCAAGTGTAAGTGGCAGGGGTGTCAGTTATCTCTCTAGTGTATACGCTGGAGTGCAGACAGGTACAGGTTGTATGGCACTGGCTGTTCTGAGCGTCCTTACATATAGTTTTAGTGTTTGTTGGTGGGTACATGACAGCCGTCTAGGAGTTTGCATAAGAAATAAGTTTATTGCAGAGAGTAGAGTTCCATGTCTGCAGCGAGAGAGCGTTGTGTGGGTCACCCCAAAATATTACGAAGTCTGAAACCACGGTATGTAGAATGCACTGTCTCATTGGACCTAGCTTCAGTGTGTGGCGAATGGGGGTTTGGGTTAGGGCCAGTTGCAGATGTTATGGGGTCCTTGAAATCACTCACTTGCTCTAATATAGAGCTCACAAGACGAGAGAGTGAGTTCTCGATGTTCTGAGGTCGTAAATGCGTGTCACAAATTGACGCGCATTGGACACAATCAGGTTGACACCCCTGTGATCTTGACAAAAGTCGACTCGGCTGATCAAGTATCAGTGAAAACTTGCATGGACCTGGAAAAGTGATAAGAACCAAAGAATTTTTTTTTTTAATCTAAAATATTTTTTTAAAGGGAAAGAGAAAATAAGGAAGAGAGGAAGATATAAGGGATGATGGAATTGAGAAAGACAGTATATAAATGTGGTTGTAATGTGAATGCAAAATTATACGATGTGATAGTTTCAGGTTATTGTTTGTTATCCATATTGGTATCCTAGCTAACTGGTGCCACCTACTCGTCCTCTGTCCTCCCATGCAGCAGCCATCTCATTGTCCCCATGCTCATCGTATTCAGTAGGAGTTGATTGGTATAACTTCTTTTTTGCCGCACAACCTGTTTCTGCATGCTTATCCTTGTTTAATGCCCATTTCAAAAAGGGTGGTTCACCATCTCTGACTTCTTTGTCTCAACTTCTCTGGAATGATAAGAGTAGCCTAACACCGCTGCCCGGGCAAACTTTAGAGTAAAAAATCTACCCAAAGTATTTAAGGATCCTTGCTACAGAGCCTGTGCATTGTGCTGAGCTTCTTCGGACTCAGACTTGAGTTAGAAGAAGAATGGAGCACTTAGGGGTTACTACCCAAGTGCCATGATGTTGATCTGTCGTTCAAACCTCAAATATCTCTGGAGTATAACACATTCAGTGTGTCTGCCCTATCCATACTTCTTCCTCCACTAACTACTGCAGACACAGCCAGTCTGTTGGTGCTTTCATTTTCTTTCACTCCAGCAATTTTCTGTTGTCACAGCCAAGATAGTTTCTTGAAGCCGGACTTGTGGATGCTCTCAACCCATTCTATTTGCAGATAGAGTGTTGTATCTTCTGAAGCATATTCATTGAGTCTGTCACTATCAGTACATGAGCTGCTTGCTGTTCTGCCAGCCTTGCAAGGTTATATGTGTGGTTACAAGATAATTATGAAGGCATCAAATATTGTTGTGTTTTCTATAAGAAACAGTAGCAAGGAATCATTTTTGCCTCAGATGCAACAACTGGCAGTAATTAATTGTCTTGTTTGTACCTTTTGTAGTCGCATGGGGCATTTCTGGCAGAGTCCCGTGATCGAGAAGACTTCTTCAACTATTTGATTCGACTGATGGTGATTCAGCCTGACTGGACACAGAGAGTTTGGGTAATGGCTGATGTCGGCTTAGGTCGGTGTTCTGCTTTTGAGCTAAGCTACGTTGTATACGAAGAGGAATGTACCCGCCGGTATTACCCCTTTATCTGTGAAACAGGTATGATTTTGCAATTTCTGCTCGTATTTAGTCACATTGATTAAAGTTATTGTATGTTATACATGTGATTTCATAGTTTCGTTGTTTTAATTTTTTTATTTGCATATAGTTTCTCACTTGTTAGATGTGGTTTCAGCATCACTGCAAATGGGTTGTAAAGCTGGCATTACACCCGCATGAGTTCACGCTATGACAGAGGAGGTCATTGCTGTGACAAAGGCCTTAGAAAGGCTGACAACTCAGGAGTTCACCAATGCATGCTTGCTCAGCAACTCAGCATGCTACAAAGGATTAAGCCATGATATATATGGAAACAATGGCACCATCTGATACAGCATGCAGCGGTTTGCAAAAATCACCTTCATTTTTCTTCCAGGTCATGCTGGTGTGAAAGGCAATGAGAGAGCAGATGCTCTGGCTGGTAGTGTGCGACTATCAAGAAAGGGCCATCTATGTACAGGAGAGACATTAGCAATGCCATACGAGAGACTAAACACTGAGGCTTTCAGTTTCATGAAAAATGATTTTTCACTGAATAGACGGCACACCCCGGGTATAACCAGTTGCATTGGCAAGACAGGAAAACCATGAGGGAGCCACCTGTCCTTACATCAGCCAGAACAGAATGGGAGTTGTTGGCCTAAAAACACTTGGGGACATACTCTGGAGGAGATGGGAGCACTTATGGTCAAGTCCAATGTGCATTGAAGATGACCTTTAAAAGGAACAATGAAAAGGTTAACTCCATTTTGTTTTGCATTTAAAAAAAAACAGTTTTGCGGATGCATTTGTTAGTTCAGTTTCCTACTAACACAACAGTGGTTGTCTGGTACTTTTTCTGTATTTGCCTGTAAAATGGCAGTTGGCGTATTGTGTTGTAGGTTACAGCTTGGTTGTGATATCTCCATCTTTTGGCCCGACATATCTGTGTTGCATGCTGATTTGGGTAAAGTATGATATTGTGTGAAGGGACAGTGGTATGTCAGTACTGTCTGTAAGTTCATGGGGGAAGAGTGTCAACATGGTCCGAGTATTAAGAGGAGACCAGTGAAAATGTCTATTCATGAACAAGGCGTGCATGCACGAGAGAAAGTGGACGCCTGGGTTTCTGTGTGGGGGGCTGAAAGCATGGATAACGAGATAAACAGAGAAAGTGTGAATTAAGTGACAGCGTGATTTTCAGGTAACATCAGCCACCCACATAAGTGTGATCCTCGAGAACGCTCACATGAGCATGAGTCCCGAAAACACCCGCAGGATCATGGTTCACGAGAACGCCCATACGAGCGTGCCTCTCTTGTAGACATCATCCACCTACACGGATTTGACAGGGATAAATTGGGCTGCCTAGACGGTCCGGGGGAGTGAGCTGTAGCCTGAGGGCTAAAGCCCCTCGGGGGCAGTCGAGGGAGAAGCGAGAAGATAGAGAGAAAGCGAGAGTCAGAGACCAAGTCAGGGTCCGTGATATCTCTCGCGAGTCTAACATACAAGAATACTGTACGACTATCAGGCATTTAGGTCTGAGTGAGTGTTGAGGTTGCGGTACTGAAGAAGATAGAGAGGAATTGAGAAGAGAGAGAGAGGAATCGAGAGTCAGAGACCAAGTCAGGGTCCGTGATATCTCTCGTGAGTCTAACAGACTAGAATACCGTACGACTATCAGTCATTTAGGTCTGAGTGAGTGTCGAGGTTGCGGTACTAAGAAGATATTGTCCCGCTGGCAAAGTAAGTCCAGGGGACGGAAGGCCAGTAGTACCTGGTTTCGGAGTACGGCAAGGGGAGTCCGTCTCCAGTCAGCCGGGTTGTATGCTGAAATAATATCAAGGTCCAGTGAATGGGAGAAGTCGTCCTGTTCAGCTGTACGGCGCGTCCAAAGTGTGGGACGCTGTAGTCCTTGGAGCTGTAGTAGTCAAGGAGAGACCGCTACAAATAGAGAGATAGAGAGCGAGTGAGGATAAATGGACGATGTGTGAATGTCAGCTGTGATCAATAACTACGTCTCTGCATCTGTGTCATGTATCCTGTTAAATAAACATGTATGACGGTGTCATCGTCATCGAGTTCTATTTCTAAGAGAGGAAGCTGAAGAGTATCTGCTAGACAATAGGTAGTGTGCTGACTCATTTAGCACACATCAATCTGATTTCGGCAAACTTTTAATTAATCCCTTAAGGATAACATCAAGGGATGGATGAACAACAGTCTAAAATAGTGTACATCTTCTTCTTAAAGTCCATGCCATGTGGCATTGGTAGTCATGTCTGTCCACAACTTTCTGTCTCATGTACTTTCAATCAACTCGGATACAGATGATCCTCCATGCCATGATGTCAAACTGTCCAGGATCTGTTCTCTCTGTCTCCTTCTGCCTCTCCTCCCCTCCAACTTTCCTACTATCATGATGTACTTCAGTTTTCTCCTTCTTATCAAATGACGAATGAATGTAGACTGCCTCTTTCTGATGTGGGCAATCAGGGAAAGAGTGTGCATCTGGGGTGAAAAACAGTGTATAGAGACTTATAGCAGCTAATCATCAATGTGTAAAAGGCACCTGATTGATTTATTGATAATATCTTTCTATTGTTGTGAATCACTTACTTAGTTGCTCCTCTTCTACCTTGGGGTGTAGAGGTTTGCCAGAGAGATCGCCAGACTTCTCTATTAGCAGTTTTCTTCCTGGCTTTGTTCCATTCCAGTCCTCTGTCAGTCAGATACTGTTGGATGTTGTCTTCCCAGGGTCTGGGTTGCCCTTGAGGTCTGGTTCTGTGGTTCTTAGTTTCCCATGCCTGCCGTGGTGGCCGATTCTCTCCCATTCTGCATACATGTCCAGACCATCGTAACTGTGACTGATCCGCCTGAGTTTGAAAGGCCTGGGTTTCAAGATAATAAGTGGCCCGCAGATCATTGCCAGCTGTATTGTTTTAGTGATCTGTCTAAGCTGGGGCTTCTGGCCAGTTTGGATCATTCTTTTCAACATTCTGGCCCCTGAGTTAACTTTGCCAGATAACGCTGCTTGATTTAAGATGAGAGCATAAATTAACTGTAAGAGGCGGGGCTTAAGTCACAGTTTGAGTCACTTCTAGTGCCAAGGTGAATGCTCTCTTCGTTTCTGCCTAGGCAATGAAAAGTGACGGGATAGACAATGCAGCCTGGAACAGCCATTAAAGATTTTGTATGCTTGCCTTGTGTTCGAACCCATTTATCATCCAGTTCTGAGTGTCGTTTGTGATTGTTGTATACAGTGAATGTAGTCTCTGCCCTCTGTAATGTTACTTGGCCATTTGTTTAAAGTACATTGCATTTATGGCTACTAATTGTGTTCATATTAATGATCTAAACTCAACAATCTGCACTGCTACAGTCTGCTACAATTGATATGTAAGTCTATGACCCTTAAGGACTGGGAGATAGTCTATGACCCACATCCATATGTTGCTACAGGGAAGATTCATGCTCTCAGAATTTTAATTTTGATTTCCCTGCTGGTGCTTAACCATATAATTTTTATACAAATTACTACAACTGTTTTTATTTTTATTGTTTAGATCCGCAAGTGTCTGCCCCCACAGAGCTTGAATCAGCAGTCCAGGCAATGATTATCGGCATCACAGTTGGGGTTGGAGGAATCATTATCATCATTATTGCTATCATTGTTATCCTCTGGTGCATCAAATCCAAGCGACGAGAGAAAGAAAGATTTGAGCGAACAGCTTCCATTAGGTCTTCTATCAGCAACATGGCAAAACTAAATGGTTCTCTGAGAGGAACAAAGTCAACTGTCACTATCCTGTCAGGTGGCGCTGCCAGGCAGAGATTAGATGACCTGGAGGAAAGATCTGTAGTATCTTCCTGCGGAAAGAACTCCCAGAATTCCATTGTCAGCAATGGTACAAGCAGAAGTGAACAGAATATTAGTTCCAGGTTTAGGAGAAACCAGAATCAGGACTCTACAGATGCAGTAGCTATAGCAGCGAAGGGCAGGCCCCATAACCTGCGACCGGAAAAGATAGGCACAGATGGTAGGAATCTTACAGCAACAAGAAATGTGGAGAGTGGTATGCTGAATGTTAAGGACAGACAGAGAGAAGACGAAAACAGGAGAGGTGCATATGGAGGGGATAATGTTGGAGAGGGAAATAAATTGGGTAGTTATAGAAGGGATAATGTTGGTGAGGGAAATAGAGTTGGTACATTAGGAAGAGATAATGTTGGAGAGGAGAATAAAACGGGTACTTATGGAAGGGATAATGTTGGAGAGGGAAATAGAGTGGGTTCCTTACGAAGGGATAATGTTGGAGAGGAGAATAAAATTAGTACTTATAGAAGGTATAATGTTGGAGAGATAGATAGAATGGGTTCCAATACAAGAGATATTGGAGAGGTAAATAATAGAGTTGGTACTTTAAGAAGAGTTTCCAATATTGGAGAGGAAAATAGAATTGGTACATATAGAAGAGATAATGTTATAGAGGGAAATAGAATGGGTACTTATAGAAGAGATGACGGAGAGGAAAATAAAAGAGGTGTGGCCAACAGAAATGCTGTTGAAAATAGCACCAAGAATGAACCAGATGCAAATGTTAATAACTGTGATGAAGATTCAGATGATAAAGACAGTTTTATTTCCGATAGTACATTTGATGATGTTGATGAAGAGGAGAATGACGGATATCTTCAAGCACCTGCCCTTGACATTGATGCTATTAATATGCAGTACAACATTGACAGATCAAATGAGCAGCTGTTTCAGAGACCTATGGCTCCATCAAAAACTGGAATAGACTCTTTGATTGACGTCAGTCAGAATGATGAGAATGATTTCACAGAAAATCCTTACAGAAACAGACCCGTGCCCAGCCTGAGAAATCCAGTGAAAACCCCAAGTAATAATGCTGTGTTCCCTCAGAGAACCATCCAAAGAGAGGACCTTCCTACACCTCCTCCAGATCCCAGAAACTTTCAGTTCCGACCTGAGCCAAATAAACACACTGGGAAGCCTTTACTAGCACCAAAACCTCGCCTCCTTGGAAGAACAAAAGCCAGTGGGAGTCGAGAACATTTGTCTTCTGCTCGTTCAGAAAGTACTGACTCCCAGTACACTGCAACATTTATGCTTCCGTCGCCTCAGAATGAGGACATAGATAATCATGATGTGTATGACGAGGATAGTAATGATCATATATACAGTAATCAGTTAGAGCTTCAGATCAATCATCCAGTAAATGACACAAGACCGAAAGGAAGCATTAGCAATTTATATCTTACTGAACCACAACCACTGTCTCAGAGGTCAGAACATGACCCAGACCTGCACAGTAGATCTCAAGCCAACAGGAATGCCAGAAGTCCTCATGAAGCTTCCAGAAGTTCTGTGTATAGTTTTCTGAATGATAATCATAGTCCACAAAACACTCAGGGAGATACATCATATCACTCACAACCATATACTGCTCATCCAACTGATCTCAGCCATTCCACTGACAGGTATGAAAATATCGACTACAGCTTGGCCAGAGATAACTTGTATGGTGTCGACCAGCAGCCAGATTTGGATTATCTCCCTCGAGATCTTCATAACCAATCTGCAGGTTACAGGATGACCTCTCCGTCACATTCGTCTTTGTCCGATCCAACGAATTATCACGACTCACAACTTCCTCAAGATCTTCATAATCAATCTAATGGTTACAGAATGACCTCGCCATCACATTCACCACTGTCTGATCCAACAAACTATCATGACTCACAACTTCCTCGAGATCTTTATAATCAATCTGAAGGTTACAGAATGACCTCTCCATCACATTCATCGCTGTCTAATCCAATCAGCAGTCACGGCTCACAACCTACAGATTCCAGCTTGCTGCCATCTGTTGAAGCAAATGTTGACTACATGCCCAGACGGGACAATTCTGTGGTCAGTAACAGGTTTCTGAACTCTGTTTCTCAGTACCAGAGAGAAGAAATGTCACCTCATGAAAGTGTGTCTTCATATGACAGCAATAACTCCCGCCCTCCTCCATATTCATTAGGACATACTTTCCAGTCTGCTCAATCACCCAACCGTGATAGACTGAACCAGACGGGTGAGAGCAGACGACTTGGGAATCCCCCGCCATATTCTCCTGGTGGAAAACTTATGCCAAAACGCCATGGCGGCAGTAAGGATGTCTTGTATTTACCTCAGGAAAATAGATCTAGGAGTCAGTCTTACGAAACCGAAATATAATTTTGTGACCTTTTGTTCTAAGGTCAACAGTTTCACTTTGTACTGTTTGTCAGTGCCGTAACATTGAGTTAACTCGTGTTTGTATGAACAAAAGACCAATCTGGCCATGTAACCTTCCAAGGCAAAATGAAGTCATAATTTTTAAGACCAGGAAGCAACAGATCAAAACATCATTTTTATCACAAGTTTTATGGTTGGCTGGATATTTGTGTGTTTTTTTAAATGCCCCCCCCCCCCCCCCTTTTTTTTCCCTTCTGTAGCTCTGCCTGGCAATGGGAAGCAATAGGGATTCTTGTTTAATGAATCCCTACTTGATTAAACAGACTGGTATGCCATATCTGTGATGACCCACACGAAGATTTAAAAAAAAAAAATATCTTTGGCTAATCTTCCCTCTGTTATCTGGACTAGTGTCTATTTCCAGCACCTTTTGTATTCCTGTCTAACAACTGAAGATGATAGATATCCTGACCTGTAAAGGACTGCGGGTTGCACCAGGCTCATGTGGCCATTATGAGTGTCCCAGCTTAAACTCTGAGTTGAACAGGGTCTCTTGGATGTGCTCTGTTGTTCTGGCCACTTATTCTTCTTCTTTGCGTTCACCAGCTGTAAACTCTGGTAAATTTTTCTGCTTGTCCACTTCAGAACCTTGGTCATGTGCCAGAACTCAAATTGTATGTGCACATCCATTTTACTGATCTGGCTTATTTGTGTGCAGACAGTTGGTTTCTTGCCTCAGATGTACCCTGTCTTACAAGGAAAATCCTCTAATTAGTCACTTTAAATGACAAGCTAGGGGGTTAGTGAGTCTATCACCCACACCAAAAGGGTTCTATAAGAGGGAGAAATCAAATCAAAGAGCCAAGTTTTTAATGGCAGACTATGATATGAGTGATGGTCTTCTAAAAACCTGCTAAATGATGTTAATGATGGTGGTTGATGACTTGATTTGAGTTGTGTATTGTGAACTGGGTGAAATATATGATTTGTGTGAAATATTGTTGTTAAAATTTACATTATTGAGTGTTGTAAAGTTGCTGAAAAATTGTTGTATACAATATAACTCTCGTGCTCAATATATTGCAGCAGTGGCTTGATCGTTTTACGTTTTTAAGTAGAACATTGAGACCAAAGTATATTTTATTGTTTATGTCAATGGGTTTTCATTTAGATTGTTTCCTGGTCAGAATTAGCTAAATAGACTGTCTTTCAAATGCAGCTGCGACTGGCTGCAGCCCACGGCAGGGGTTCGAAACTGGACTGTTACAGGGGTTCATCCAGCCTCTAAGTAATGGGTATCAGAGTTAACACTCTAGGATAAATGGAGGAATGTCGTTGTAGCTACGGAGTTGCTTGCGGACAGTGACACAGGCAGACAGTATTTTTATCAGCTGTCCATACTGGTGGCAGAGCACTTATAGTTTATAACCGTGTACACTGGTTCACATCTCCTGACTTTACTTTTTACGTTTAATTAGCTGAATCAAGACATTTGATATTGGAATCCATCAGTGTGCAATTTAGTTAGGAGACAGACAGACACAGACAGACTTAAAGACAGACAGGAGAGAGTGAACAAGAGAAAGTATGCAAAAGAATGTACAAGAGAGAGCTCATAAAATAGATCACGCAAAATAGAGCATGTAAGAGAGTGTACCAGATAGAAAAAGTTTGAAGGAGAGAAAGATAGCCTGCAAAAGAGAAAGAACTCAAGAGAGAGAGAGAGAGAGAGAGAGAGAGAGAGAGAGAGAGAGAGAGCTGACTAAAGAGACAGCATGCAAGAGAGACCTCACAAGAAAGATTGTGCAAGAGATAGAACTCACAAGAGAGAGCATGCAAGAGATATAATTCACAAGAGAAAGCATGCCAGAGAGGAAGAGCTGGCTAGAAAGAGAGAGAGAGCATGCAAGAGAGAACTCACACAAGAGATCTTGCAAAGGAGAACTCACACAAGAGATCTTGCAAGAGAGAACTCACAAGAGAGATCATGCAAGAGAGAACTCACATGAGAGACCATGTAAGAGAGAACTCACAAGAGAGATCATGTAAGAGAGAACTCACAAGAGAGATCATGCGAGAGAACTCACAAGAGAGAACTCACAAGAGAGAGATCGTGTAAGAGAGAACTCACAAGAGAGAGATCATGCAAGAAAGAACTCACAAGAGAGAGATCATGCAAGAGAGAACTCACAAGAGAGAGATCATGCAAGAGAGAACTCACAAGAGAGATCATGCAAGAGAGAACTCACAAGAGAGAGATCATGCAAGAGAGAACTCACAAGAGAGAGATCATGTAAGAGAGAACTCACAAGAGAGAACTCGCAAGAGATATCATGCAAGAGAGAACTCACATGAGAGATCATGTAAGAGATAACTCACATGAGAGATCATGTAAGAAAGAACTCACAAGAGGGATCATGCAAGAGAGAACTCACAAGAGAGAGATCATGTAAGAGAGAACTCACAAGAGAGAGATCATGCAAGAGAGAGATCATGCAAGAGAGAACTCACAAGAGAGAGATCATGCAAGAGAGAACTCACAAGAGAGATCATGCAAGAGAGAACTCACAAGAGAGAGATCATGCAAGAGATCATGCAAGAGAGAACTCACATGAGAGATCTTGTAAGAGAGAACTCACAAGAGAGATCATGTAATAGAGAACTTACAAGAGATCATGCTAGAGAGCTCACAGGAGAGATCATATAAGAGAGAACTCACAAGAGAGAGAGCATAAGAGAGAACATGAGAGAGCATGCAAGATGGAGAGAGCATGCAAGACAAAGAAAGCATGCAAGACAGAGAGCATGCAAGACAAAGAGAGCATGCATGGCAGAGAAAGCATGAGAGAGAGAGCATGCAAGACAGAGAGAGCATGCAAGACAGAGAGCATGAGAGAGCATGCAAGACAGAGAGCATGAGAGAGAGCATGCAAGACAGAGAGCATGCAAGACAAAGAGCATGAGAGAGCATGCAAGACAAAGAGCATGAGAGAGCATGCAAGACAGAGAGAGCATGAGAGAGTGCATGCAAGTCAAAGAGAGCATGCAAGACAAAGAGAGCATGAGACAGCATACATTTCAAAGAGAGCATGCAAGACAGAGAGAGCATGAGAGAGAGCATGCAAGACAGAGAGAGCATGCAAGACAGAGAGAGCATGCAAGACAAAGAGAGCATGAGAGAGAGCATTCAAGACAGAGAGAGCATGAGAGAGTGCATGCAAGTCAAAGAGAGCGTGCAAGACAAAGAGAGCATGAGACAGAGCATGCATTTCAAAGAGAGCATGCAAGACAGAGAGAGCATGAGAGAGAGCATGCAAGACAGAGAGAGCATGAGAGAGAGCATGCAAGACAGAGAGAGCATGAGAGAGAGAGAGCATGCAAGACAAAGAGAGCATGAGAGAGCATGCAAGACAGAGAGCATGAGAGAGAGCGTGCAAGACAGAGAGAGCATGCAAGACAAAGAGCACGAGAGAGCATGCAAGACAGAGAGAGCATGAGAGAGCATGCAAGACAGAGAGAGCATGAAAGAGAGCATGCAAGTCAAAGAGAGCATAAGAGAGAGCATGCAAAAAAGAGACAGCATGCAAGTCAAAGAGAGCATGCAAGACAGAGAGAGCATGAAAGAGAGCATGCAAGACAAAGAGAGCATGAGAGAGAGCATGCAAGACAGAGAGAGCATGCAAGACAGAGAGAGCATGCAAGACAGAGAGAGCATGAGAGAGAGAGCATGCAAGACAGAGAGAGCATGAGAGAGAGAGCATGCAAGACAGAGAGAGCATGCAAGACAGAGAGAGCATGCAAGACAGAGAGAGCATGCAAGACAGAGAGAGAATGAGAGAGAGCATGCAAGACAGAGAGAGCATGCAAGACAAAGAGAGCATGAGAGAGAGCATGCAAGACAGAGAGAGCATGAGAGAGAGAGCATGCAAGACAGAGAGAGCATGCAAGACAGAGAGAACATGCAAGACAGAGAGAACATGCAAGACAGAGAGAGCATGCAAGACAGAGAGAGCATGCAAGACAGAGAGAGCATGAAAGAGAAAGCATGCAAGACAGAGAGAGCATGAGAGAGAGCATGCAAGACATAGCATGCAAGACAGAGAGAGCACGAGAGAGAGCATGCAAGACAGAGAGAGCAAGAGAGAGAGCATGAGAGAGAGAGCATGCAAGACAGAGAGAGCATGCAAGACAGAGAGAGCATGCAAGACAGAGAGAGCATGAGAGAGAGAGAGCAAGCAAGACAGAGAGAACATACAAGACAGAGAGAGCATGCAAGACAGAGAGAGCATGCAAGACAGAGAGAGCATGAGAGAGAGAGAGCATGCAAGACAGAGAGAGCATGAGAGAGAGAGCATGCAAGACAGAGCATGCAAGACAGAGAGAGCATGAGAGAGAGCATGCAAGACAGAGAGAGCATGAGAGAGAGCATGCAAGACAGAGAGAGCATGCAAGACAGAGAGAGCATGGGAGAGAGAGAGAGCAAGCAAGACAGAGAGAGCATGAGAGAGAGAGCATGCAAGACAGAGAGAGCATGAAAGAGAGAGCATGCAAGACAGAGAGAGCATGCAAGACAGAGAGAGCATGCAAGACAGAGAGAGCATGCAAGACAGAGAGCATGAGAGAGCATGCAAGACAGAGAGCATGAGAGAGAGCATGCAAGACAGAGAGTATGCAAGACAAAGAGCATGAGAGAGCATGCAAGACAGAGAGACCATGAGAGAGTGCATGCAAGTCAAAGAGAGCATGAGACAGAGCATTATTTCAAAGAGAGCATGCAAGACAGAGAGAGCATGAGAGAGAGCATGCAAGACAGAGAGAGCAAGAGAGAGAGAGCATGCACGACAAAGAGAGCATGAGAGAGAGCATGCAAGACAGAGAGAGCATGAGAGAGAGAGCATGCAAGACAGAGAGAGCATGCAAGACAAAGAGAGCATGAGGGAGAGCATGCAAGACAGAGAGAGCATGAGAGAGCATGAGAGAGTGCATGCAAGTCAAAGAGA